TAAGTATAATTAACTTTTCTTCTCTTGCCTCCTCTTTGCGTAATATATCTAATATAGGTCTACTCCTATTTATATACTAAAACATTTTTATAGAAAGTACTTTTGCTATTTAACGCTTTGCATACCTAAAGCAGTTAATATCTCTATTATACTTTACTAATTACTTAATTTCTTCGCGCTATCCTTATAAGCGCTTGCTTAGTAATATAAGCACATATAGTTTTCTGTTTATTGTATAGCAAGTATAGCACTTTATAAAAATATAATACAACTTATACGTGCATGCTAGCAGCTTGCGTCTGTTTTTTAATGCATATTTTTAGTAATTGCACTGCCTTGCGCGCACTACTTACAAACGCTATTTACTATAATATACAGCTTTTAATATAGTTAAAGTATATTAGGATTATAGAAATAAGAACTACTAGAGTCTACTTTAAAGCACGCAATAGTATAGAGCCTATATAAAAATATCTAGTTTAAATAATATATTTTAAGCAATTATAATATAGGCTATAGCTTTACCTTGCTTAACTTACTATACTTATTAATAGCCTTGTTAACTTTTTTAAGCGTTAAAATCTATACAAAAAAGTTAAAAATACTAGTAATTATTCTAATAAGCTATAGTTGCTGTATATACTAAAGTTAATAGAATTGCTGCAAGTTATAGCTTGTCTTTAATTGCATAATACAAATATCCTTATAGAGTTTTATAAAGCTACAGCTAGCGCTATATAGAGTTTAATACTTTTTAGGATAAAAGAATATAAGAACGTAGAGGGTAAGGTATATAATAGAATGCTAATACCTATACTAAGTAAAGTAGAATGTAAGCAGTTATTTTTAACTGCTTTAAATATATTTACAGTATTAGTAACTAAGTAAATAAGCTTTATTACACTAGATATTAAAGTAACACTTAATAACGCGAATATTTTTATTATAAACAATATAAACTACAAAGTTGCCTAGAACTTCCTATTGTTTAGGTTAATATTAGCCGCCTGCTAAGATTAGCTTAAAGAAAATAACTTTAATATTAGGCTATAGCATTTTAAGTTTAACGCACTTGTTGCCGACCTACTATAGAAAAAGTCTAGAAAGTAGTATATTTCTAGTAAGCTAGAAATATCTAATGCGCTAGCATTATATTTAATTATATATAATAATAGTTTAGTAGCTACCGCCAGTTCCTATATTAAAGTAGAGAGACACCTAGGTATTACTATTAAATGCTGTAATTTAGCGCCAGCGAATTTAGAGCTAATAGGTAATATAATACACTTAGGTATAATTATATTAATAGCTAACTATAGACTGCAGTTCGCTTCTAATCCCCTACGCTTAATTTTATTTTGCCTAAGCCCCTACCCTATAGGAGAAAAAAACTAGTTGTTTCTAGTTCTAACTTTAAAAATAATACTAACTTTAGTACAACTGCTAAACTATACAAGAAAATAACAAAAAGGAAAACGCTACTAAGATAATAGACAAAGTAGGAAAAAGACAAGAAAAAAGAAGGAATAATAAAAAAATAAAATAAAAAAAAAGGAAAAAGTTAAAAAAGCAAGAAAAGCTAAAAGCAACAATAAAGATAAAAGCTTAAATAATAAAAGTTCTATAGACAACAATATTATTAATACTAACAATAGCAATAAAGAGGATAATAATATTATAATAGCATAGTAGCGTGCAAAAGAGAATTAATAGCGCTTCTAAGCCCTAATAAGCGCTAGGTAAGTATATAGTAGAAGACTATTAACTATAGTTTATAATACTAATATACAGCCTAGAAATCTAGGTGCCTTAACAATGCAAATAAGGCTAGAGAGAAAATACTATACTATTAAAAAATAAAAAGAAGTAGCTAAATTTTTTAGTATTTATATTAAAGATCTCTAGAAGGGCAAATTAATTACTTTGCTACTAGTCTAGGGCTTTTATGTCCTATTTATACTATACTAACTAAGTAAAGCCTATATTCTACACAAAAAGAAGTAGTTAATAGACAATAGCAGCATATTCGCAAATATAATAAGTATAGGGAAAACAAGAGCTGCACTACTTATACTACTAATAGGGCACATCTACTTGCTAAATTAGTTAAAAGTAATAAAAGCCTAAGTAGCTAGAAACATAAGTTAATACTAAACTGCAAAAAAGGGTAGTATACTATACTTATTAACTAAAAAAAGGACTTTTTAATATATATATAAGAAATTACTATTAATGCTAAAAAAGCTGCGCGTATATTTAATACTAATTAGTAAATAAGGCCGCGCAACAAACGCATAGAAAAAAGAAGCTATAGAAATAAGTTTTTTCTACTTTAAGTAGTGCTACTTAGCAAACCTACTTGCGCTCTATTTTTATTTTATAAATAATAAACTATTAGACAGCATAGGGCTACTAATAAAAAATAAAAAAGTAAAAATAAGAATTAATCTGCGCGTTAACGCACGTATTATAAATTATAATAAAAATATTACTTTCTGCAAATATATTATTAGCTATAAAAAAAAGTCTGAAATAGTATTATAAATAATTAAAAATAATAATATGCTAGTAGTTTATAAAAATATAATAAAAAACTATTTTATTTTATCTGCAGGATAGTTTATTATTATATGCAGCTTTACTATACTTTTAAACTATATCTTAAAAAAGTATAATAAAATAACTATTAAGCTCTACTGCTTTATAACTAGGAAAAATGCTAAAGTACCTAAATTTATAATACTTTATATCCTTAGTTACGTTATAATTTAGGAGTGTATTATTTTTAATAAATTTTATAACTATAAATTTATAAATATAATTATAAGTAATTTATATAAAAAGCTCTAAAAGCATAACTACAAATACTAATAAAAAGCTTAGGCTCTATTTAGTACTTTAATAAAAAAAAGCTTATATAAAATTTTAATTTTTATTTCTTTGGCCTTTATTAGACTAGAAAACGAAAATAAAGTAATTAACTAGTATAATCTAATTATTAAGCTAGATTCTAATAGTATTATTAAGTATAAGTTTATAGACAAAATGTATAAAAATATTATAACTATTACTTTAATTTAAGGCTAATGTAAGAAGATAATAGAAAGCCTAGCTATAGTAAAAAATTAGGCTAATATAATCTTAAAAGCTAAAAATAGCGTTAAAAATATTATAAATTCTAAAAAGTACAACTTACTTATAAGTGCTAAAGTAAAAATTTTTACTAAGTTTATACTCTACTAAATACTTGTTATACAGGACCCTTAAAGCAAGAATATATTAGGAATTAAAAAAAATTTTTTAACTTATTTCTGCTCTTATAGCTAACTAAACTTAGTTATAATTATATATACTGCTACTAAATAGTGCAAGGCAGTGCTGTGCAAAAATAAGATAACTTTAGAAAAAGCTTATATAATAGTTATTTTTAATTGTGCTAAAATGTAAGCAATTGCAATGTACTTAGTACTAGCTAAATTAAAATATAAAAAGTATAAAAGCAAAAGCAGTAAAAAAACTAAGCAATTTATATTAGTATACTTTTAGCTATTTTTTGCAACGCTAGACTAGGGGCTTTTTTCCTACTATTTTAAAAACTTAGTTAGAATAAGTATAAAGTATTAATAAGTTAAAACTAAGTGCAAAATAGTTAGCTGCTAAACAATGCTAAACTGCAACTAGAGTTAGGCTATTAAAAATAAAGCTAAAAATACTAGAAAGCTAATACTTTTAAAAATAGTTTAAGCAAAAATACTAATAAAATTATATAAGCTTTTAGTATAGCTTATTACGTGGCTAGGGCTTTAGAAGAAGTATAGTAATAATAAAATTTTTTTAATAAAAAGAAGAATAAAAAAGTTAAAACTAAATAAAGCGCTTTTAAAATAAAAGGACTTAAATAAACTATTTATTTTAGTAGTATTTATAGCCTTTACAGAAGCTATTACGCTAATAAAAGTAAGTATAGTTATAATTATAAAGCTATAAAATAAGTAAAATACTTAAAACTAGTTTATATTTAAAATATATTACTTAGGCTAGCTTGCTTTAATATGCGTTAGTTATATTTTATATACGCTAGAAAGTAAGCTAGAAATTAGTATATTAAGTAAATAGTTTATTAAGATAGCTTTAAAAAACAAATTATAAAGTAAGAAAATAATAAATAGTGCGTATATTAAGTAGGATATAATAGAAAATATAGCTATAAAGCTTAAAAGTTTATAAAAAAGTTTAATTTTGCAATATTAATAAAAGTAGATAGTAAAAGATAGTAGAAAATAGTAAAAGATAGTAAAAAACAGTAAAAGATAGTGTAAGACTGTATATATAAATTAAATTACCTAGCATATTAGTTTTAACTTTAACCTAACTTTTATAAAAAATATATTTTATATTTAATTTTTATAAACTATATTACTAGCTTGCACCCTATTACTAAAACGCTAACTATCTAATAAGTACTATTAATCTAGTTTTTATAAAAATATAGAATAACGACCCTGCAGGCAGCAGAGTATATATATATAAAAAATTTATACTAATAGCAATATTAGCAATTTGCGCGATACTAGCAACTTGCTTAAATTAATAGCTGCCTAACTACTAATAAGTATATATAATTATGCGTAACTGTTTATTACTATACAACCTAGCTAGATTAATTTTTTAGAACTTGAACATAGACTAAACACAATTGAATTTTCCTGACGTATTCCTGACGCCGAACTCCCGTTGTGACATGTCGGCGGAACGATATTCCTCGAATATTTCTCCACATCTGGGAACAAAGACCGTTAACTCCATTATATTCATTTTGGCTTATAGTAGTCTGTGATAGCCTGCGCACTTGCTGTAGCGCGTAGATCTAATTGGTCAATCTGTAGGTATGCGACACTATGTCGGCCCTAATTGGCGTTATGGATCGTAAATTCCGCAATCTCCGCTGCACACTATGCATGCCGTCTTTCGAGACGAACCATTCTAAGGCCCGTACATATCATTTCCCAATGATGTCAGGAGCTGAAAGACTAAAAGTATAAGAAATAGTCATGGACCGAAGCTAACAAATCTCTTGCATTTCATCTTCAATACCCTCCATAGCACATCTCGCTATCTTTTCAAGCTCACCAGCACTCCATAATCAACAAACGCCAGCATGTCAAAATCCCTCTTTGCGGTCTTCGGTGCCACGGGCAACCAAGGCAATTCCACCGCGCAATTCGTTCTCAATGACCCGGAGCTTTCACAACGCTATGCCGTCCGGGCCATCTCCAGAGATACATCCAACCCCAAGATGCAAGACTTGAAGTCCAAGGGCGCTGAACTGGTGCAAGCCGACCTGGATGATCCCTCTTCCCTACCTGCAGCCTTAAAAGGGGTCGAATTTGTCTTCTTTATGACAACAACCCAGTACCAAGGCAACACACGCGAAATCGAGACAAGGCAAGCGAAGAGCTTTTGCGAAGCAGCGCTGGCGCAAAGTGTAAAATACATCATCTTCAGCTCTATGTCGCACCCCTACAAGATCACAAAAGGCGTATTGAAGAATGTGGAGCACTTTGACGACAAAGCCGAAATCGAGCAGTACATTAGAACGCTGCCGGTGAAAAGCGCCTTCTTCGCGCCGGGGTCCTTCATGCAGAACTTCCATTCCAGGATGAAACCACGCCCCAGCTATACCGGAGACGGGACATATTTCGTCGCGAACATTGGCAATAGCGATACAAAGTACCCGCTCATCGACATCACTGACACGGGTAAATGGATCGGTGCCATCCTCGCCTCGCCAGAGGAATACGAAGGCAAATTCCTTGCCGCTGCTGAAGGCTTATACACGATGGACGAGGCGTGTGCAATTATCGAGAAAGTCACGGGAAAGACGGTAAAATATCAGCAGTTGCCAGATGAAATGTTCAAGGGGTTCTTACCAGAGGGAATGAGGGAGCCGCTGTATGAAATGTTCGTGCTGCAGCGAGATTATGGATATTATGGGGAGACTATGGAGGAGCAAGTGGCGTGGGCGAGAGAGCAGGCAAGAAGCAAGTTGATAGGCTTGGAGGAGTTCTTGAGGAGGGAGAAGTACACGGTGGAGTAATTGCTAGCTGAATCATAGAATGACAAGATGGGATGTTCATATTAATGAAAGACGTATTTGTCGTATCCGAGCTAGAAGTAAAGCATCGAGCTACACAGTGAACGTGCGTCATTGCCATTGTCATTTCCGACCTTGAACAGAGTGTGGGAACCCTAATGTGCGTTGATCGCTCCTAACGACCGTCTCGACAGCCTATCTGGAAGAATCAATGTAATCACAAACATCTCCACACTTAGAGTACCTTCACAGAACCAGGGATAGCTCAATTAGGGCGTAGGCGCTTTGAAAATTTTCTTCCTCTGCTCTCGTCTCGCCCTGAAGTGAGGTTTAGATAAGCTGCAATGATTAAGCACATGCACCATGACTAAGTACAATGCATATAAACTAGGCGCAGGCTTACCAATTAAAAGAAAGAGTTTAGTACAGAGGCGTAACACAACAGCACGCAGCCCCGCCACGTTGAACTTAATTAGAGCCATACTTTGCCTTTTAAAGGTCGAAATGCGATAGCGATGATGTCACGGATCTAGACGGAGACTAATGGAGATAAGCTAAACACCACCACCACTCCCTACCTGAACGATTCAGCCCCATATTCCGAATGATGGCCAATGGAATACGCCAAAACTAGTAGTCTGTGGCGCTACGCTCATTAAGCCTGGTCAAGCGTGCGTGGATTTTACGGAAATAGCGTTTAGACACACTAAATCTATGTTCAAGGCTCGTGGCTGTACTACCCGGGGCCTAACGGTGGAGTTTGCACATGTCCGGGCACTCTCTAATGCAGAGAGGTATTGTATATAATGGCACGAGTACAGCCCTAGAGGGATTTATATCAAGTCATCAACATTCCAAACTTGTTTGAGTCACCGATAAAACCTACCTTAAGTCACCTTGCACACAAGATTATCTCCTCTTGTCCCCCCAAGTTAGACTCCAATCACACCAAAGAAGTAGTAATGACCTCTACTACTCAACCTCTCGCCGGCAAAGTCGCCCTGATCACCGGCGCATCAAAGGGAATTGGCGCCGCGACGGCCCTCGAGCTCGCCTCCCTAGGCGCCAGAGTCGCCATCAACTACTCCTCTGACGCCAAACCGGCCGAAGAGCTCGTGGCCAAGATCGGAAGTGCCGACAAGGCGATTGCTATCAAAGCGAACGCGGGCGACGTCAAGGAGCTCGAGAGACTGGTGCAAGAAACGGTGGCCTGGTCTGGCGGCAAGATCGACATTCTCATCCCGAACGCGGGAATAGCCTTGATGCGGAATGTTGAGCAGACGACCGAGGAAGACTTTCAACGCACGTACGACCTTAATGTCAAGGGACCTTATTTTCTGGTTCAGGTACGTCCTCTGCGCCTTTTTGAAAATCGATTTCGCTTTAAAGATAGAAAGGATGGGAGTTCTAACAGACATGCAATCATAGAAAGCGCTTCCCTACCTCCCCAAAGGCGCGCATGTAGTCCTACTCTCTACATCCCTGTGCGCCTCATCCACAATCACACCGAATTATCTCCTGTACGTGACTTCGAAAGGCGCAGTTGAGCAGATGACGCGCGTTTTGGCAAAGGACCTGGGAACAAAGGGGATCAACGTGTAAGTCTCATAAAGCCCACCCCTGCCTTCGCTCATTCCCATCTTCCGAATGCCCCCGACTTACAAGGCAACAGCAACGCTATAGCGCCCGGCCCTATGGCAACCGATCTATTCTTCCAAGGTAAATCCCAGGAACTCGTCGACACAATCGCCTCGGGGAACCCGTTCAAGCGCTTAGGCCAGCCCAGTGAGATCGCAAAGGCCATTGCGTATCTCAGTGGCGAGGGAGGAAGTTGGGTCAATGGCCAGATATTAAGGGTAAACGGCGGGATGACTGTGGGCAATTAAAAAGGAAGAAAGTGAAAACGAGCGGGGTGTCGAAAGATATCATAGATTGATTCTAGATGGAAATAGTAAAAGTACACTTGCTGTTTCTATAGCTATAGGTGAATCGAGCACCAGAAGAACAAACTCCCAAACACCAGAATTTTGGCCTGATAGTGGCTGTTGAATAGCAGAAATTACATGGTCGTACTGCACACACAAAGCTGTCCATATCCGCAGCTGCCGAGCTAGCTCGTGGTGTGCCTAGAACCCATTATAGCCTGGCAAAGCCGGATCCAGAGGATAGCTCCACATCGCCATTGAATCTGGAATAAATAACGCCGACAGGTCCGCATCCGAGCCAGTACTCAAGTCGAACTGCGTGAAATCGAAGTTCATGTCGAAAGCGGGCTGCTGGAGGCCCGTCATGTCCGGGACTTGTGCTGACACGCCGGGAAACCAACTCTGTTGCATGGGCGGTTGAGGTTGTTGTGCTTGCGCTGCTAAAGCGGCTTGAGCCTGCTGCTGAGAGCGGGCGTGCGATTGCGCTTGGCTCTGGGAAGAGGCATTGTTGCTGCTGCCCATAGCGACCTCAGAGAGGAGATGGAGTGGGGTCTGGTTCGCAGAGGACTGCTGAGAAGGAGGTTTCGGTCCTTGGTAGCTAGTTTGGCTAGACTCGTAGTCGCCGTCTGGTTGATCTGCCCTTGCCGTACCCTCCTTGATTTGGACGAATCGCTCCTGTAGACGTTTCGCGACGAAGTAGAATTTACCGTGTGGAGACTGGGCATCGCGAGAGACGATTGCGCTGAACATGGCGACTAAACGCTCGGTGTACGACTCTATCTCAAGGTCTTCCATCTTAATGACGCTGCTGACTTCGCCAGAGCTGGTGACGGAGACCCACATCTTCATCAGGCAAACAATGGCGTATATAGCTCGGACACCTATTGTTGTTAGCTAAATACTGTTGCGTACCGTCTGGAATACATACAGAAGATGACAGGCAGGGTTAGAAGGATGTCGAATTGTATGCTCAAGATCGTGTCTAAGATGCCATGCGTAGCAGTGAGACATTCGCCTAGGGCACCAATATGTGCAGGGCCGATCGGAACGTCCTTTTTGACCCCGGACGACAATGTTTCTGAAGTAAAGGGGGGTTGGAAGTCCGCTGCATTCTGGTTCTGGTGAAGAGCAATCTCGTGGAGATAGAGATTTGTCACATGCTCAGCCAGGCGCAAAGTAGCTTTATATCCGTCAGCAGCTGTAGCGCCAAGGTTTGACTGACTTACGATCAACCTCACCCATTTTGGCGTTCTCATCCCGCAATTGCTGAAGGTCGTTCTCAAACATTTTCAACGCATAAATGACCTTTGGCTCCGAAATGACCATCTCCATGGAAGGATCGTCCATGCAGAACTGGATTGAGATATTCTCGCCAATACGGGCCATCTTGACTTGTCGACAAAGCAGTTGGTCGGATGGAAGTGCGTCAGGCGCGGTCTCGAGTATCTTGAGGCTCTCCTCCATGTACTTGGTCCAGCGGAGAAGAATCGGCCGTCTAAGTACCATTGTGATACTCATGCAGAGGTAATAGCAGACAAGGAATGTCCGTCGCGCCTCGATGCTGCTCGAGTTGGGATGATAGCCCCGGAAGGGACCAATTGAGAGCTTCATGACATTTGGGGTCGCCTTCCTCCCAAGCCCGAGGTCAAGCGCCATGATGGTAGCGCAGTTGACCATCATGTAGAAGTTGTGCTGTTCAAAGTGCAAAGGTGGACGGTACCATAGTACTGCGACTTGCAGTGCTTGCACAATCTCGAGCGACTTCTCCCCATTACGCCAGATGATATCTGCAAGCTGGTCTTTGAGAATCTTGGTCAACTCTCGCTGTACATCTTGGGAGACTAATTGCTCTGCACTGCCATGAGACGAGCCGGCCAATATCGATAGGAATAAAAGAGGCTTTTTGTCCCGAATCTCGCGGGCTGTGGTGCCCGGCGGGAAAGGCACGGCGGGGAAATGTGGACAGATGTCGTTCACATAGCGAAGGAAGACGCGCTCCGCAACATCTGGACTCATCAGGTTATCGACAAGGCCGTTGATGTGCTGGTGGTCGGCGTGGATCTTGGTTCTGCCACTCCGCTTCATCTCAGGATGCTCGGCGAGGTCGCGGTGGAGGGCATCCATGTCCTCGGGTATCGACTGTTGGTCAGTATTGGCCAAGTTACAGAGTCAAGGTGACTTACAGCATGGCCATCAGCCAGCTTCCTCCGCTTAGGTTCAGGACCACGCTGGATAGTTTGCGCCGGGCCATAACCGGGTGGGATATCCGAGTACCTATTTGCGGGAGAATTGGACCAGTCGTGACTGAGCGTGCCCGCGCGGAAGGAGCCTTCGGGCAAGGCCGTTGCGGGAGTGTTGCCATCGTACTGCGGTATGCCTCCGTGGTGCTTGACGTCGGGGACTCCTGTTTTCTGCGCGTGTAGTGTCGCCGTCAGTGCGTCGATCTTGCGTTCGAGTTCGGCAACGCGACTGTCGGCCTTCTTCTGGCGCTTTCGCGTGGGAGGGGTCGTAATACTAGGCAGCGTTAGTCACAGTAAAGGTAGACAGCGCAGCTGGGTCTATACATACCATAGGCGGCCGGCCTTTGCGCAGCGTCTGCATGACTGATCTGGTCGTTCTTGGTCACAGCGAACCTGGAAGCGGTCAGTGGCGGGTTTGTCTCGCGGTTGCGCCTCTCCACACCTTTAGCCCTCGACAGGAATCGCATGCCCTGGGGCGCTTGAAGTCGCCTGGAGACTTGGTAGAGCCTGGCGTCTCATGTGCACTACTTGTGCGCGTCAGCATCCCTTCGCAGCGCGCATCCGTTGGCACCAAAGGCTATGACGTACCCATCGTGATCGCCCTCGTCGTCCTGCTCGTCCTCGTCGAGCGAGGCCTCAGGCCCGGTGGGAGAGGTCTGTTGGAGCGCGGGATCGAGGGCATGGCTGAGCGGGGCAGGCTGCGATAGCTGCGGGGCCTGGTGTTGAGAGCCCGAGGGCAGGTAGTAGGGTTGTCCGGCGTTGTGCTGCGGTGCAGGCGTGTACGACTGCGTGTGCGGCGGCAACGACGAGGCGTAGAGGCGTGGGTCAATAGGATCTGCCATGCTTAATGTCGCGGCTGTCTCGTTCGTTATCGTCGGCGGTCGGTGAGTCGTCTTCCGTTGTGTTGACCGCGGACGCCGGGATATACAAGAACCGCTAGCGTTGCGTGAATCAACTTTGGTGCCAAGCCTTTTTGGATACGCTTTCAGGAAGGATTCAGTCATGGGTTGGAGAAATCCATGGTATTGCGATATTGGAGCCGCTAGGGCATCCAGAGTCAATCTATACACAAGTCGTACTTCCTAATCCTAAACCTGGTCCTTTGCATTCCCTTTACACTCGTTCATCCAGAGCTCACGGGTGGGATGATAGCAACCTCGTCCCCCTCCTTGATCACTCTGCCCGCGTCCTCTGCATCATCCCCCCCAGCATCCACATACTCCAGATTCACCGTAACAGCACAGCTGCTCAGGACCTTCTCCCCAATGCCTGGATATCGCTCCTCCAGCAGAGCGAACAAGTCGCGAGCCCGTACAGGGGCGGGGAGGTGTTCGCTTGCTCTGCGTGTATACGTGGAGGCTGCGGCAAAATACAAGATAGAGAAGTGACCCGCGGGGGCTTTGGCTGGCGCCATTGCGGTGATGACTATGGCTTGTTAGGAGCTGCGTGCTGGCTGGAGGTTTGCGTTGTAATGGGCATAGAGAAATTTTCATCAGGAAAATTAGGATCCGCAGTCTACCGCAGATGCGATGGTCGGATAATACATGCTATAATTTTTGAAAACATCATATGACGGCTGGAATGTGCCAAGAGGAGAAAAAGTACTTACATTACGTGGTGTGCAGGAGGAAGAAACGAGGCATGCGAGGTGGGCACCAGGAGTAGGTCTCGGTGGCTAGCGGAGAGTCCCCGACTTGGCGTCACTGGCCGCGGAGGTCTTTCAGTGTTGGTGCTATGACTTGGTAGCCTTTTCTGTGCAAGTCAGCATGGGGTTGTTGATAAATTTGTGTCTTTTCCCCTCGCTTTTGAAGAAATTGGACTATACAAACATACATATACCTTTTGTTCTGTTGCGTTGCATTGCGCTGCTCATGTGAGAACGCGATATAGTTAGCGTCTGTGCACGGACCATATCAAAGACCGCGACTTCCTCTGCTGCACCTTTTGGGATGCGGCCATTGACCTCACTATTCACTTCAATCTGCCATGTATCCCCGCTCGCTGTGGGCCACAGGCGACGTTTGCCTGCGATGCGAATGGCGACTCCTGAGCCAGCGCCATAAGACTCGTCAAATACATTCTCGTATTGCACTTTCTTCGCGAAAAGCTCCACGAGTGCCACAGCGGACGCTACACGCCGCTGCAATTGTATATACCCTCCCACAGTGCCAATTGATCTCACCATTGACCAAACCCAGCGCTCTCAACTGGCTTCTACACCAGCCCCGACCTCTCAATCCTCCAACCCCGAGCTCATTCCTCACCCGCAACACCTGCCCATTCGCCAGCACCTTGTGCAGTGGCAGCAGCAGTTTAGTAGCCCGACAGAAGAGATCTTGTCTGCATTCCAGAACCATCCAGCATGTGGCGACATGCAAAATGGTATTTCCAAGCTGTCGTCGGGATACAAGGCGGATGAGGACAGCGAGACGAACGAGTGGGATGGCGGCGAAGGAGACGAGGGCGAAGAACTGATAACCATTGGCCTCTTCTTGAGACCTGGCGATGTGGTGGAGCTTTCGCAGCCTGGCCGAGAACCCGTTCTTGCTGTCTTCGTTCAACAGATCAACAACATCAGCCAGTTCTTCTCCGTCAATGGTAGATGGTCCCACTCTATCCTAGCAAAAGTAGCCTTCGCCATCACTGGCTGCTTCGACCCCTCGCTCCTGCAGCCTCTTGTTCCCTTCTTGCCTACGGACCCAGTCACAGCCAATCCCAAAGGCGAAGTCCATGTTCCCATCGACATTGCCGCCCCCGTCCAAGCTACTCTCCAACGTATGACAGAAGATGCTGAGAGGATATACCGCAAAAATGCGTCCGTTCTCGATACTGCATATGCCGTCCTTGCCGATCCTGCCCGCACACGTATGATGACCTTGACTCAGATCACAAAGACGTTGCTAGGCCGCGATGATCCAGCCTGGGTCCCGTCTCCGGCCTCTCTCTTAGCTGTCCGGAAAGCCCTGAATCATAACGAGTTCCGCTTTCGTTCCGACATTCGTAGCCATCGTCTGACCAATGTTTTTGCTATTCGACCCAAGAATGACGTCCAAGTCGTTGAGACAGTTCACGAGTGGATCCGGGAGTACCATGACCATCTTGCTCTATCTGCCAATAAATCCCTACACTCCGTGCGCAAGTGCACTAAAGGAGCATCTTATGTCGCAGAATTCCTTGAGAAAACACGCAGGCTGGTCGCCAATAGCCGAAAAGACCGCGCTCCTAATCGCGGCAATCTTGGACCTAGTAAAACACGCTTGACGGCGACAGATGGGTCGTCCAAATTACAGGTTGTGTGGGGAGAGCCCTTCACTAGCACCGACAAACAGATCATCAACTTCCTCCAAGCCTGGGTGCTCACTGGCCAATTCAATGGCATGGGTGGCCTCCACGCTGCCTGCGCAAGCTTGATACTAGCAACGGACTGCTATGGAGCAGGTGTCGTGCAAAATCCTGCAGGCTTCAAACAAGTCGCGAATGAAATGAGACGTGCCATGGGTTTCGTATTTTTGCAGGAGATTGGCGTGCTCTTGCCCTACGAGAACCGTGCAATTTACGACGAACAGCTAATGCTTCCTACTGTTCGCCTTTCCCGCAATCTGGAGCTTCTCAATACCAAAGCCGAACTCACGCGAAGAAATCCAGATTTCCGGGACTCCATGGCAGATCTACGCCGCGACTGGGGCTCGACTACGGTTTACTGCATCGACGACGTAGGCGCGCAAGAGATTGATGATGGTATATCGATCGAGCGGGTGAAGGGTCAAGATTCGGAGTTTTGGATTCATGTTCATGTGGCAAATCCAACTGCGTTCTTCGACAAGACTCACACACTTTCCGGTCTCGCCGCACACATGACTCAGACTGTCTATACCCCAGAAAGAACGTTTCCTATGCTACCTACCTGGGCTACTCAGGGTTATTTCAGTCTCGATCGCAACCGACCCGTCATTACCTTCAGCTCTAAGATCAATCGTAACGGCAGCGTACTAGAGACGAAAATACAGCACGGCATCATTCGGAAGGTTATCAGTCTGACCCCTTCCGAGCTATCTTCGCTTCTTGGCGAAAACTTTACTACCGAGACGCGAAAGCTTGTTGTTGGTGGCGAGATTCCAGTTGAGGGTAAAGACCGCCCGTTACCAAACCTCTCGCCCAATCAGCTTGAAGATCTAAATGACCTTTACTCTGCGGCAAAAGCCCTCTGGGAGATGCGTAAAGCAGCCGGAGCCATCCGTTTTGCTAATGTATCGCCTAACGTACGCGTTTTTGAGAATCCTAGCAAGGCCGGATTGACTTGGGATCCGCCCTCCATCGACCGAGCACGCCTAGTTCAAGGAGACCCTATCATTGAACTCACCAACACTATCTCTACCGGCTTAATACAATACAGTATGAGCCCGAAGAACATTGTCGAAGAAATGATGATACTTGCTGGCCAAACAGCGGCATCATGGTGCACTGAGCGGCATATACCCGTCATGTACAGAGGTACAGTTGAACCACCCACTGGCGATAGCTTGTCCTCGGAGAAAATCAAGCAATCAGTCATGTCCTACTGGGAGAAACAGGAAGAGCCCCCCCTCAAGCTCGCCATACTCTATACCGGGTCGTTAAGTAGAGCTATCGCACATTCTGAGCCCCTGCCACACAAGATTATAGGCGTGTCTGGCTATGTCAAAGTCACCAGCCCGCTTCGTCGTTTCAGCGACATGATAGCCCATTGGCAAATAGAAGGCGCCATACGACACGAGGCACGGTCTGGCAAGAAGTTCAATGCAACTAATCCCACGAACGCCTCTCGGGGTGTTCTTCCCTTCTCCCAACGTCAAATGCAAGAATCGATAGTTACGCTCTCACCCAGAGAACGGATCATCTCCGAGACCCACCGGGCTTCGACGCGTTTCTGGACAGTCATGGCTATGATGCGTGCCTTTCACTACAAAGAGGCTCCGCTTCCAGATATTTTCATGTTTTGGGTCCGTACTGTACCTGATGTTGGGGTTCGGACAACCGTGTCAGGTTATCTTCCTGAGTATGGACTTCGAGCCAAAATGATAGATCACGAAGCCGGCCAGGTCGGCGACCAGTGGGAGGTAAAACTAGACAGCTTTGATGTGTTTGATGGAGACGTTTACGTAAAGCCTGTTCGCCTTGTCAGCCGGGAAGCTAGCTTTCCATAAACAGCCGAGGCCATCGGCCCGTCAAGACTGGCCTCTTCTTACGGGTGTTAAGTGCGGTTAAGTGCGGTTTGGACAAACATGCGCTGAAATGTGGTTCGTACACAAACAGTTTTGCCGTGGATCCTGCATGCCGAGTCATGAAAGGTAATGGCGTTAGCTGCGATGTTTAGGCCACTCCACACCAGAACTTGCAGTGCGACGAACGATCGGATTCCCACTATGGCGGAACGAGGCGTTTCGTGCGACGGCGCGGGACGAATGCACGGACTTATGCGGATCATTGACGACACTACACTCGATTCCAAATAACGTTGCGGTGCCGTAAAGACAGTCTAATCGTAGAACGAGATGTGCGGCACGGAAAGACTGGTTTCTCGAGCGGCGAGGCGTGACGGAAAATCGACTAGATCAGCAAGGCACATCAACAGGCGCCCATGTAAGCCACTTGCAAGCCATAGATGCACTAACCACGGAGCTCGATCCAGCAAGGGTGTCATTGTCTTGCTCTAAATACGCGTCGCGCGGTTGGTGCTAGAGACGAAAGGACGGCAGCCGATCCGGTTTGCCGGGGAGGGACATGCGCATGGCTAGGGCGAGAATCCAGAGGATCGGCCCGTGGTAAGTGCACCAGATCTATGTACAGTATCCAGGATCAGTATTATTCCGGCACTCCCTTTGTCTGCTTGGCGATATTCTCGTACAAGGGGGCTAGCCCACGCACAATGCAGCACGACCCATCCGGCAGTCCAAATCTCGGTGTGGGTCCAACATATCTGACCAACAATCAACTTCGACCGCCTCCTTTTCACTTCCAATTGCTTTCTTACTGCTAGAAATGAGGCTTCGCATACGCATTTACTAATCACGGGCGCTGGACTAGATGAAACGTCTTTTGCGGCGTCGCTACATGGTAGATAAACTCAGCTGGGCTAGGTCGAGACCATTGCCATTCGATTACATGCATCATTTGACATTGCTATTTTACCTTTTACATGACTCTCGCGCATTTCCAAATAGTTGCACTCTACCCACCAGACAACTGACGTCGCCCTTTTGCGCCCAACCCTGGTCAGCCTACGGCCCAGATACCTGAAGCATCTGGACACTCCTACGCTACGATGTCGGACTTCTATACACCTAGCGACCAACCTCCCGGCTCAGCCGAAGTCAACAAGAGAAAGCAACATCCGCAGCAACCTCGACAACTTCTCTCATGTACCAAGTGCCGCGAGCGAAAGGTAAAGGTAAGTGTCCAGTCGAAATTCCATGAATCGTGCCAGTGTGCACTATGAGCGTAGAAGCTAGGCTCAGACAATACATAGTGTGATCGTACAAAACCCTGCTCCGCATGCTGTGCTCGTGGTGCGCCCAAGGAGTGCCATTTCGTCGCAGAAGGGGGTGATTATGCTCCAATACAACAATCTTACGAGCTTCGCAAGCTTCGTGCGGAGAATCTTCGTCTTAAAGAGCGACTGCGCGCCAGCCAGATTCCTATTGAGGATGACGACTCAGACCCAGCGGCGACTCCAGAATCCCAGCACGGTGAAAGATCAGCCTCGTCGAAAAAAAGACGTGCTGCAAAGCAGAAGCGCTTTCAAGGTTCCGAATGGCAGGATAGCATATATTTTGGCTCACCTGGACTTGCCAGCGTAGTCACAGATGTGAGCAACATCTTTCTCCATCATTGTTTGGACTAATGCGACGCAAGTTTGCTTCTGTAAATCTCAACCCAGCATCAGCTTCTCTGTCACATCTCATGCCTCGCGGACTCGATATGTATGCGCCGCGAAACCCGCCACCTCACCCTTTTGCGACTATATTCAAGGCCACTCCAGAGGAATGTATTCCAGAGCTCTTGAGTGTCCTTCCACCGAAAGAAGAACTTCTGGAATACCTGAGCTTCTTTGAAAAAAGAGTAAACATATGCTCTTTCCCCCATGTGCCTGTCGAGATAACGAGAAGCGAAGTCGAGCGCTTCCTCTCTGAAGAAAGAAAGAACGCCCAGATGTATCCCGATATGCTAGCTTTGCTCTTCGCCGCAATAGCGTTAGGCGCCCAGCATTCGGTGTGGGACAAATCCGGCGAGCAATGGAATGGCGAAGTCATGGATGCAGAAATGAGGAGAGGCGACGTTTATAGTGAGATTCTCAATCATACCAGCAACTCTGATCTGACGTATTGTCTAGTTGCGGCCGCAATGCAAGCCCTACGACTTGCATCTTTCATGCACAAACCAACTCTGTTAGGAATTCAAACACTCATCATGATCGGACCCTACTTGACCAACAGTGGCCGATTCCTGGAGGCGTGGACCCTCTTTGGTACTACCATTCGATTAGCCCATTCAATCGGCCTTCATCGACACCCAAAATACCTCGATCCTGCTCCTCCGACACAGCGGGAATGCTCTATCCGACAAACGCTCTGGTGGTGGATGTTACACATGGACGAACAGTATTCGATGACCCTCGGTCGGCCGCTTGGGATTAGTGGGATTGGAGACTGTCCATGGCCTCAGGAACTGACGACTGACACCGCCATGTTGCGGTTCGGCGAGTTTGTAAACCACTTCACGATTTTGACCAGACAGATCTTAAGCAGTGATCGGTTGACGCTTCAGAAAATCGACGATTTTACGGAAGCTCTTCGAGGACTGCTTGATACGATGCCCGAGACATTACAGTTTGACGAATCGTGGTGTCGGCCTGACACTGCTATTCCTGATTGGCCGCTTAGTGCCATGTCTGCTGGTGAGTTGCTCGATTCTTCATGTCACACGAGTTGACAATCATAGTCTACTATTGTAAAACACATACCTATCTCATTCTCCTTAATCGACAGAGGATCGACAGGAATACCGTACACGCACAGTCGCCATACTCAAGAAATACCGCCTCGTCATTTCGACCCATCAATCGGACGCCTTCGTCGTATCCATCAACGCCTACGTCATCAAAAGCCTCACTTCGAGGTCGCCCCCTTGTGCTCTCCTCATCGGAGGATATCCTTAGCGCCTTTGTTTTCTTCTATCACAGAGTGCCAGCGGCGCTGATCGATTGGACTATCGGCCAACAGGCGTTCAATTCCTGCATGATCCTTCTACTTGACGCCATAGAGAACACAAAGATCACTGCGGGCGCTATGAAAGTGGAAAGAGCATTTGCTGTATTCAAGGAGCTAGAAGACAATCATGTGCATAAGCTTGCAGCTCTGGCTGTGGATAGAATCAGTTGGGGCCTGCAAGAGCTGCATCGAGTCGTCCAGTCCGCATCCAGTACAGGGGGGCAACAGGGGGTCCGCGTCGGGATGGAGACAGCCGGCCCAAGTGAAGCAACGCATGGCTCGGGACATGTGAATACGGTGATGGGTAACACTGGACTTTTGCTGTTGGAGGATCCCGGTCTGCAGGCTTTCGTCCAAGAAGATTGGGCTCCAATCGCATGGGCCATCCCAGGGGGTACGAGCAATATTATGAAAGAGCAGGAACAGCAATCACAGGCCGAAGCTAGGCAAATGAGCGGACTAAAGGCAGAAGATGATGTCTACCGTTTTCGATCCCCGGAGGTTATGCAGGGTATGCGGAGATCGACGACCACGCGTTCAGCACCCATGCGCTACGCGACCCTGTCAGAAGAGGATTCTAAGCCACAACCCTACACAGCTCCGACATCCCCTGCAACCCTCGCAGCGTCGATGCAGCAACAGCATCATGATGCACAAGCGACTGCCACGAGAGGCCGTCGTGAGCGGCAGCCGCCTCAAGGCTATCAACAATTCCATCCGCCTCACTTGCCACACGCACGAGAATATGAATCGGCGTCAGCAACAGGCACCTCAAGCAGCAGCGGCTGGGGATACGAAGCGATCCCGAGCGCATCGAGCACCATCCAACAACATGGCAATTTGCCCCTGACGTCTCCAGATCCGAGCAGTGCAGACAGTCCAGCGGCAACTCGATTGCCAGGTACACCCCTGAGCGCAGCCATCTCAGCAACAATGGCAGGATCAGAACCTGCCTCCTTACATGCATTTCTCGAAGCTATTCCGACTACGAATATCGTTAACCCTAGCGTTCACCCCCCGTTTGCAGCCCGACCCGCGGCTCCCATGTCTAGCATAGCAGGCTCATCGATGAACTTCTCGCCGGTGTCTCCTGGTGCATTGCACGGCATGGTGCAACAACAGCCCCAGCAGTTAGTTTTTCCTTTTACATCGCAATTTTCGAATGCAACGCCTACGACGATGGCGGAGCAAATGGACTTGGATGAGTGGCAGAGATACGTCGGTAGTTCCCGGGGCTAGGTGAATTGGCAGGAAGCTGGCCGGCAACATCCTTTCGTTTTTGTTATTTTTGTTACAAGGGAGGCCCCTTTGCTTGATACCTGGGATTAATATCATTTTCCATAGCTCACACACATTTTGGTGTAAATAAAATTTGAGCTCCACATCCCGACCTCGCTAGCATTCTGATGGGGGGTCCGAGAAATTGTGGCAAAATACTGCGCGACTGCATGTATCCGCAACCGCGCTCTCCTGCCTGTTCGGGGCGGCTAACGTCAGGAGGCAGCAGCAGCTAAAGCAACCACTACCCGTCGACCTATTTCCCATTTAGCCAATGCTATCTGATCGGCCAACTTGATTTTTTGGAATTCCGTTCCCCGTGCGTAAAGCGGGCCGGCAATAACTAGGTCCTTCCCCGCGAGTATTCACGTTTCAGTGGTGGCTGGGAAAAGAAGATCAGCGTCACAGCCTCGCTGTTCCACGCGCTGCCATGGGTTAAAGATCGCCTTTACGTCGATGATCACCTACACGTGGGGGGAGAGGGGGCCGGAGATGTGGGGTTTCGAAGCAACGCAGAGAGCACATCATCATCATCATCATCATCATCATCATTGTTTCCGGAGCCCGTGTCTCCTTCGCGATCCATCTTTACCGCCGTTGTGTGTGAATTGCTTTCTGAAACGACGCTATGGCCCCTTGTTCCCTAGCGAGTCGCTGAACGTTATACGCCCTTGTATGCATGGCTACATCAGCCCGCAGTCAAACCAGGACCCGTTCCCATGGCCCGGGGCGATCAGGGCGTTCGGCCACGAGGGTCTGGATCGCGATCGAAAAGGAAAAGGAAAGTGTGGTGTTAGCGGGTGGTTAAGTGTTACAGGGTACCGCATCCCTGGCTTCCACACAGCTGCGGACTCTCCACATTCTTCTTTTACACGCTGCATCTTGGCAGTTTCGGCGACCGACCGGCAAGCTCATTTATCCGGGTCCTCGATCCTGCGTCTGGCCGGTCAAGGTCGTTTTCTGGAAGCTTGACAAGTTGTTCGGTTTAAAATGTTGTATGCTGGATAGGGGACACGATGCTTCGCGATGCTTCGACACGCTTAGCCCATGGTTTTGGGACTGTATTACCACGTGTTGAGACACCACGTGGCCGACGGTTCTATTCCAAGTTCTCGGGCTATCGCTTCCAATCTTGAGGCTAATCTTCCCTCAACGCAAGCAACAAACTTTCGCTACCGCCATCGGGCCGTGATCAACAGGCGAGCTTCCCGTGAGGTCCTGGTAGGTGACGGTCTCTCAAGATCAACGCTGAATAGTAATCACAATACGAGAGTGCCCCAGAACATGACAACGACGACATTGACATTTTTTTTCTTTTTCGTTCTAGATTTCATCTCGTAAAGGGAACACACGACATCATTGAAAGTCACAAGTAAGCCTACGCTCGGTTACGGAAGTGGGTCCGGGAACAGTTGGCCTACAGTAGTTAGGACCCCATCCCCATGCGATCTCTGGACGCGATGCCAAGCGCAGCCTGCTCGCAGAAGGGTTGTAGGCACTATTTTTGGTATTACTACGTAGCCCCAACATTTCTTTTTGAGCATCTCGAGCCTAGACTTGCAAGAGCCGATCGCCGTTGCAAGTACTTCTCAGCCTAGGAAGTTCCGCATCGGGAAAACCGAGCCGACCTACCATGTATTCTGACGTCGGCTCGGGAAATCATCGTCATCGCATTGACAGTCGAAACTTTCGAAATGAATGCCAAGGCTCGCTCGTATTTGAGATGGGATTCTGAGTGGATGATAGATGCGCATGCATAGGCTGGTGTAGTTGATCTAGATCGGACGCAAGGAAGTCACACGACGCCAAGCTGAACTGGCATATTTATGTTGACACGATTACGGCCCGATAGTTGCAGTCTACACACGCAGCTAACCCTTACCGCAGCGCCTTCTACCGACACCGATCGGTTCGGTATGAGACCTGGAAGGCGAGATAGCGTTCCTTTAGCACCTCCACAAGCATCCACTTCCTCATCAAGTTTGCAATAGTGTCGTCGCCGACTAGGATCCCTGTGGTTACTTCCGGGAGTTACCTTATAGCGTGGCCTTGGGAGTGGAGGATAAATATACCACCATGGGAAGAACAAGCGCTTGGTGTGGAGCCGCGGTATTGTATTCAACCTGAATGGCAAAACCAAGGTATTTCAGCGTGCATGGCTGGGGGCGTACAGAGATCCTGCAAGGGGAGCGGGTGGGAGAAGCGGGGCTGAAAGATAGTGTGCGTTAAGATAGGCATGTGATGACGGAAAGACTTATAGGGGAGCGAGTAGGTGCGGGGCTGAATGCCATTGCAGTTAAGATTATTTGAATAACAGGAGCCTAAAAGTAGGGGAAGATGAAATGATAGTTCGGTCTAGACTGGTCCAAGATCAATGTGCACTAGCTAATGTGAGGTTCTAGCCTTCACGAGTGCGACAATTTAAGCACTTCATTGTAGCTACCGCAAAATGAATATATTTAGTAATTTCTCTTACGACTTGAAGTCTTTAACTCTTGGAGCGAGACCTAAGACTGTGCTTAATCGCAATCGTACGTTTAACTCGTAAATCATCTAATCTTTGTACATATTGATGCCACTCGCGGGTTCTAGTGTGTCGAGCCACAACCGCTATGACTTACAAATCAGGACCCAGTCTCCTATCTTAAATACAGCATTTAAACATAGAACCAACATAGTATACTTAAAATATTATGAAAGTAAAGAGGTCAAGGCGTATCTGGAAGCGAGTATTTAAGTAGTTATCCCAGACAGCTAGTTGCTTCGTTGTACAATGTTGCTACACCTGAAGGAAACAACTTGTGTACATAGGCTAAAAGTAGTACTCAATCAGTGCCTTCTTTAAACTTCTTTAAAGGTAGTGTGGCAGAAGCTCAGCGCCCCTATGCCAGGAGGTCTAATACAATCTCCCGAAGAAAGCAGCTAACAGAGCTAGAGGAACAATTATGCGAGCTCAGTATATATACAGAGCTATGCTACTCTGTTTTGATATAATAATCTTTCTCCTAATCATTCCTGGGCTCGTTTTCCTATCACAGGTAGGTAGTCAGATTATTTTTGAAGTCACACTTCCGCACAGTACAAAACAAGAGCTCAACGATTTCCCCCTTAGAAGAGAACACATATAAAAAGAACCCAAAACTCTTCTCGCGGTACCTCACAGTATAACACAGTGCACGCCCGCCAGCCCGTTTATCACTCCTCACTCTTTGACCCATACCTTATCCCCTCTGTAGTACTCGCGAACGAAAAGCCGTAGATCCCTTGACACCGCACCCATTAAAGAAACGTGACGACAGCAAGCAGACCTTTACCTGTAGTTCCCAGACTAACAGTGCGCGAACACGACGAATTTATCAGGAGAAGGGCCAGAAAGATCAAGTTAGAGAGTACACAGCCGCGATGAGATTGAACTAAACGTCTTCGCACTATTCTATAGATTCCTCGAGCGCTTGCACTACCCGCTACTACTTAGCCACTGCTACTATACTACTACCGCCCCGTTGCTGCTATGCGTATCCAAGACGCAAGAAACGAGACGATTTCCCTGTCTACATGTGTTCTCTTCTGCGATATCGTGCTATCCCGTTCTGTCCTGTCCTAGTTGTGTTCTTTTCTTTCTCCCTCTAGAAATGTTATAATAAAACATACTAACATCCACATTTCTTCGCTCTATTCCCTATAGAAAACTTGAACAACACCCTCTTACCTCCTCCTCTCCTCCTTCCTTATCAGTAATACACCGTCATGATAAGGCAACACGCCTACTCTAAGCCATCCCACGCACACGCACACCCGCACGCACCAATATCCCACCAAGTATCTCAATTCAATGTGAACCAATTCAAACCAATCCAATTCAAAAACACGTCAAGGTGAGAACATCTCAAGGCAGGCAATATACTTAACCAACTTCGATTTAAACTACTACTACCAACTATGCCAAACTAAGCAATTACCATACCATAACACACTATCTCACCACTCACCACTCGCCAAAAACCATGCGACTCAACGTTACGCGCGTGCTTATATATATAGTTTTCTGAGAGGGGAGAGGGAGAGACAGACAGAGACAGAAAGGAGTGAAATGCCATGCAGCCTATTTTCATCAATATGCCTAGAGGAGATGCCATGAGAGTGTTTAAGGTATGGAAAGAATGGAAAGAAAATAGCAAGAAAGGATAGTAAGGGGGTATATGCCATGATAAAAAAACGCCATTTGCCTGCCTGCCTGCCCGTCCCGTGCTGTCCATGCCTAAATATGGGGACCAAAACGCTTTCGCTGACAAGATGCTGCGCATCTGCAACGTCCTCTCCAAACTCCCCACAGCATCTCACCACTCTACTCCTGAAGCTGATGGGTAGGACACGCGCCCCTCCCCTTCTTGACCCACCACTCCTTGATGCATTTCTATATGAACACTGATTAGCCTCTCCTTCTCAAATCACAGTAGAAACAAGCAAAACGAAAAAAGTCGCAAACATACCTCATGGAACTTGCACCAACAAACCAGCCTAGCCATCCTATCCCCCGCCTCGAAATCCTCAAGGCAGATAATGCACTCGGCCTCCCTCCCCTCGTCATCCATGCAATCCTTCTCCGTCGCAATGTACGGAAACATGCCGCGGGCCGCATGGCTCATGCGGTTCTGGTTACTCGCGCCCTCGCCGTTGCCGCCTGCGCTGCTCATACCGCGGGTACGCTGGCTCGGCAAGCTAGCGGATGCAACTCGGGTAAGAGTTGCTGCTGGAGCGGGAGACGCAGAGTGCAGAGCGATGCATTCTTCAATGTGCTGTGTGCGAGCTGATTCGTCGTTACCGTGACCTTTTTGCGGGAGCTCATCGCCGCAGATGGGACACTCGTCTTCCTCTGCGATTTGGCGCCGTGGGCGAGACGGTTGCGGTTGGGGCTGCTGAGGTAGGAGTGGAGGCGCGGGTATGGGGGTATACAAGGACCGTGGAAACATGCTGGTTCTGGTTACGGAAGCGGAGTTGGGGATCGGAGGGAGTGGGGCGTTATTGGGGATGGAGCTGGCAAGCGAGCGTGGGATAGAGTCGTCAGCACCATATCCGCGTGATGCTTGGATGGCGCTGGAATTGGGCAGCGGTGGCAGCCTACGTTCTCCAGCATTTGAGCCACCCGGATAATTCACTCTCCTGTTCTCGCTATTGCTGCTGAACAGGTCACGTGGGCGTTGCGTTTGTCCATGGCCAATAGTTTGAGATGCATCGTGCGCATTCGAAGAAGATCGGTGTTGACGTGGTTGCGGCGGCGGAAAAGGCGGAACATACGACGATGATGAAGATGCTGAAAACGTTGCGGGATAGCGAGAAGAAGCTGGCGGGTTATACTGGGGCGGGGGATTGAAGTTTGGATCGGGAACACAAGGGTTGCAGACGCGGACTTCCTCGCCTCCGCCTAGCGCTGGGTTGCGGAACGGGCCGAACGAAGACATGGTGGTCCCATCGTCGTCACACGTCAAGTCGATGACGCTCGATGTGTTGTCCGCTGGCGGGTGGACGATGAACTGGCGTGGAATTGTGATGCGATGCGGTGAGCAGGACGAGCACACGACGCGTCCACATTTTCTGTTCACGCAATGTTAGCTCTGGATTCTTCTACAAGCGTCACGCATGGAACACGACGAGCTTGCCGTGGGGGATTTAAAAGAGCACATACCTGCAATGATGCTTCCTGAATAGGAACGTAAAATACCTCCCGCACACCGGACACTGCGAGACCTCAGCGTCGGGCTGCCAGGACGGCAAGACAAGATCACTCTGCCTCCTCACGGACTCAGTATTCGCCTGTGGAGGAACTGACGGCAGCGGTGGCTGGGGTAGCGCGCGTGAAGGAGCTGGTGATGCGTCCAGCACGATGGGATCCGAGCTGGTGTTGCCCGCATTACTGGAATGCATCCTGATACTCGAGGGCCGTCTCATGGGCGACTCCGCCGTAGTCAAGCGCCTCTTGCGGTCGGAGCTGCGGGACGACGAAGAGTCGGTGCGTGGGAGAGTGCGGTTGGGCAGTGTCTGTCGTGAAGTTGAGGGCTGGGGGCGCTGGTCCGAGGTGGTTGCGGGGTTATTGTTGCTGTTATTACTGGGCGGTTGGCGGTGGACAGTTTGGTCGGTACCGGATTCCCGCAGAAAGTCTATCCATGTTTCTCCGCCGTATGCCTGGAAGTGTGATGCTACAGCGCCGCGTGAAGAGTGTCTTGCTGGGAAGCTCTGGGGGATAGCCTCGCTGCCTCCTTCTGTGCTGTCGTTCCCTCCGCTGCGTTGTGTCTCCAGGACCGAGCGGTTGTGTGTATAGCGTCTGCTCTGCCGCGGGTCAAGGCTGGTGTTGGGAGGCATCTGGGAGTGGTCTTTGTAGAGGCCGTCGGGGTGGGGACAGCGCTGATGGAGGGTAGTGGCTATGTTGATATAGAGGCCGGACGCTCACGGCGACATGTCGCTCGCCACCTCGTCCTGCTTCTGAAGCGCTCGTGCAACGTTTAGTAATGCAGCAAAAAGGAATCCTGCGCTTTGTATTAGCACAGCTCCCGAGAACCATGCTTCATCTACTCTCACCTGTCAAGAGCGAAGCGTGAGTGAGCGAAGCCGGGGTGCGTGGGTCCCGCGTGGTCTGCGGTCGGGGAGGACCGATCTCCGTGCGGCGTAGATTATAATCCCAGAAACTAATTACAAGGCTGTGCGGATGAAGAACGAACTCAAAAAGCAGGACAATGTGCACAAAAGTTCACCCCCAGGCCCTGGAATAGGCGGAACTCGGCTTGGAGGAGGGTCAAGACGAGCCTCAGGCGTGGATAGCGTAGTCGAGCTTATCGTGCCAAACAAGCGCACGGCCCCACTCTGTCTCCAGCTGCAATCCTACTTATTTAGTGCAATGCTGCATCCTCACAGACCTCTCGCATCAGACCACTTCCAGCAAACGCAAATGTATCAATTGCCGCTGTATTCATTCACAAGTCTATCGTATAAGAATTATATTATCCACGTGTTCCAACTACTAGTATATGTCGCCATCGTGGCCAGCATCCCCCATATCACACACCAGAGAGTATATAGAAGACCGCTCTTTGAAAAATCATGTGTACCCCCCTTCTGCGCCTCGCAAGTCATATTGCCTGCCCCTGTCCTAAAAGAAAACGCCGTAAAGAACCGCTTTTGACAACTAAATGTGAATGTACAAGCAAGGAAATTCGTGAAGGCCACGTGCGTCAAGACTGAGATTACAAAAAGGGTTCCGATTCCCCGTGATATTTCGTCAAGAAAAATAAGGTTGATAGGTGATGCTGTATATCGTCACACAGCTATGCACATCTCGATTGCGAGACACAAAGACCGCCACTGATTAGGAAATTATTTTGAGCCGACGTTGTTTAGTTCGGCTTCTGACTTCGCCCACTTCTCTGCGTACTCCCGCTACGACTCCGATCCACAAACTCTGCTGAAGCTTCGAGGTGGTTTCCAGCGTCATACCCGTCGCTGTGAAGACTGTCCTTTGTTACGTGGTGCTGCACGTACCCCGTGCTCAAAGGTCGCTCCCCTTGTGCGCCGATAGGAGGCGGTGCCTCGTTACGATAGATGCTCGAGCCTGCGGAGCGCTCTGGGGAGCGTTCAGGAGAAGGCGACGGCTCCGTGGATCCAAAGGGAAGGCGGATAGGCAAGCCGGTAGAGGTAGGCTGCAGATGTTGATTGCCCTGGGGCGGCGGGAAGTGGGGCGTGGCTGGGGTAGAGTCCATGACGGTTGATAGTCGATTCGAGCCCGTGAGTGCTGAAATGTCAGTTGAGCGTGTGCGTCGAGAGTTCTTGCGTGGTATTGTCGGCGCTCGACTCAGAGGGCTTCGCGTTTGTGTAATGCGGGATGCGCGCGACCCTACTCTACTGGGAAGCTCGATTCCGCCAAAAGTCCCAATAGGCCCTAATGTTGGTGCCATGGCCGAGACTCGGTTCGCTCGATCATACTCCACGTCGCTTGCGTCTGACTCGCTGTCAGAGGAAGAGCTTCCTTCACCGGCCAAGACTCCTGCGGAAGCCACACCTGGTGCCGTCTTCGTTCGGGGTGGTGATTCTGGACTGTCGCGATAAGGTTCATGTGGGACCTCTGGAGAGTGCTCGTCGTCTTCGTCCACAGCCATCATCTGGGGCGGCATGCGCGTGCTCCTGACAACCTCGAACCCTTTGCTCTTCTCCTTCTTCCTGCCACCCAAAAGATTCAAGCTCTTGAACCAGCCTGTAGCAGAAGACACCGGGCTCATGGGATCTGCAGGTCCAGTCTTCCGTTTCCGGGTAGGCTGCGAAGACAAGGCGGGTCCGCGGAGGCCGTAGTAGAAGTCGGATTCTCGCACGGAATAATCCGTGTTGTTTCGTCGCTCAAGGTTCGGGTCTGAGTCGTCTCGGTTCATTCGTAGATAAGCAGGAGCTGGGGTGCCTGAAGTCCGAGATGGACCTTCCCCAACATCGCCGACCTCAAGATCCGCATTGTCGGAGTAGGGCACATCTGCAATATCAGCGCTTCCAACAGCTCCTTTGCCTTGGGTACCTGGTCTGAGCGAGTCCATAGTGTGCTTCCGTGGACGTGGAGGTCGGTAGTAAGGGTCTGCGGCGTCCAGAGCCGCGCCCATGGTTGGTCTTCGAGAACTCGGATTTGACCCGCCACCTAGTGGGGTGTAGGGTGTCGCACTCGTCCCGGGTGTGCCTGGACTTGTGTTGCCCGCATTGTATTCACCACTGAATTGATCGAACCCTAGGCTAGCGCGAGCACTCTCCCTGTCATAGGGTCCGTTGAGGAGAACCGCGGAACTGGCAGACAGGCTTCGAGATCTACTATCCATGAGCTGGATGTTCTTGTTCTCGTCATGCGAGAGCATTGCCGCATTCGAGTTGAGGCTGCTCCGCTGTTGCCGGTGAGCTGCTCGCTTGGACAATTGACGCTTGCCGAAGACTGAAGTAAGACCGCCTCTCTGATCTGCGCCTGCACCCCCCAACCTTGCGGCAACTTCGATGATGGTCTGCAAGGAGTTGAGGAAGAAGCCAAACACCAAAACGCTGGCGTGAAGTAGAAGAATAGCGTAACCGATCCAGCCTTTCGGGGCCTCGGACACGGCGAGAGAGGGAACGAAAGCAACCATGAGCAGGATGCAGGTGAGTCGCACGGCCGAAAAGAAGGTATGGTAGGCGTTCATCGAAGTGTTTGACTGAAAAGGCCGGAAAGCGTGGAGGGTTAGGATTAAGATGACTTCGCAAATAGCGAGGATGATGATCTGCGCAATACCAGAAGGCTGGATGGCACCGATGGCGACTCCGCGTATGATGGTCAGCAACACAGGGATGAATGCAAAGGGTGCGGCATCGTCCGAATAGGTGTTGTAGAGCGGTCCATAGGTTAGCACAGTCGGCAAGTCATCGAACAAGTGAGCTCGAGGACGGGTCGTGAAAATGAACCAGAAGATCCAGGTGATGACGCCGGTGACTAGCATGAGCAAGACCACAGCCGCGGCTACAACGGATCCCGGCGAGCGTGGGCCTACAACAAGCTGGAATAGTGATATGGACACGATGGGAAGCATGAAGTAGTTGAAGACGATGCGAACAATGTGGCCTGCGGTAAAAGACCAGTTCTTTCCCGTGAGGTCGCCGTCCTGCGTCTTGGTCAGATACCGCGAGAACCATCGTCCAAGAAAGCCGAGCTGAGTGAGCAGAACTGCGATGCTGATAAGTACAAGCAGGAAGATGGCCATGCAAGCCCAAATGTCCCTCTCCTTTGTCATGCCTACATACTGTCCAAGACGCGTCAGGCCGTAGGTTCCGTTGGCGAAGTAGATTCCATCGACAAGACTCTGGGATCCATTGCCGTGGCTCACGAAGCTTTGGTTGAACAGCAGGACCGACCAGCTGGCCTGGCTGACGACTGGCTGAAAGAAGCCAGGGTAGTTGAGACTCAGGCTACCGGCCAAGACGATGAACTGGATGTATTGCAGACAATCTCCAAAACCCGGGGTGACGAGGCGCAGCAGATCCTCGTCTCGGCCATAGTTGCTCGTCCAACGGAAGACATTGGAGGTTCCCCATGGGCTGCATGTTGCGGCAAAGATGGTGGCAATGGCGACAAGCGCAAGTACAGCGGCGGGCATGTAACAAAGCGCATTAGATAGTCTATGTCCTAGGTCTGGTGTAATGTTGGCAGATATACAGCCAAGCGCCTGGGCTCCAGTATTGCCTTGTACGATGCGCAGGGTTGCGGCCCAAGTGGCAAAGGAATAGGTGCTGTGGAAGTCGTGGGCAACGCTGAAGGCAGGTAGCGTGGAGACGTCGCTCGTGTTGTCGCTAAAGGAAGGACCCACTGGACAGCTCCCTTTGACAAGCGATGAGCAAAACTGGATCGAAGGTGAGGTCCATGCTGAATAGGTCAGGACTTTGACGTTGGCGAACAAGGTCGTGAACTTGTTGCCTTCTGGGTCTACATCCACTATCTTGCCAAAGGTCTTGTTTGGGTCCGACCAGCTCCTGTCCAACGGAGGAGGGTACTCTCCATTGCCCGTCTGTCCTGATACATCCCCGTACACCGTCATGTTCAGATTGTGGCTGGGCGCCGTGGTGTTGAATTCGGCCCAGACATGTAGCGGGGTGAAGTGGAGGTAGGACGTTCGGTTCGGCGTGGTGAAGAAGACGGGCTCCAAGCAGTTTTCAAAGTTGACAAACACGGCGGTCGTGAGTGGGAGGAACGAGGCAACGACGAAGAGGAGGAAGAGGGGCGAGGATGCGCTCCGTGGTTTCCGTCTCGAGCGCGGCGGAGGCTGTGTGGGTTGGAGGGTGGGTATCTCGACCTGGCGGGTGTCGGAGGCTATTCGAGCGCCATTGCGCGGTAGGGTAACTGCCATGATGAGCTTGGAGTCTACGTCTTCATGTTTCTCCTCCCGTCTGACTCTCGATGAAGTTGTAGTACCCGGGGGTGGGACGGGGTGTCGGTCGCGATTGGGAAGCCCGGGGGTTGTTGGAGAGGGCTGGGGTAATTCACGGCCGAGGGATGGCAAGATTGTCGGTAGTGTTAGGTGAGAAACGGTCGCGCAGACGGCGAGGATCAAGCGTGGGAGGGAGGGAGGGAGGGAGGCGTGAAACAGGCGTGCGAGTCTGTTGCGACGATGTGCTGGCAGCAGCGAGGGGCCAGGGTTTGGATCAGCAGCTCCAAGGGGCCATGGCAATTGGCAACAAGAAGAAAAAAGGTTGGAGAACGAGTGTATGAAGTGAAGGTAACCGAAATCCCAGGTGGGCGGTACTGAAGCTCCTGAGAGGCGAGGGTATGGCGGGAGCTTTACTAAACGGTAGCACAGAGAAAGCGCGCGACGGGCAAAGGCGCTAGCTTCGTATTCACAGCGCAATGCGCGCCTGTGGGTTGGGAGTCGCGTTGGCAGGCCGGGTAGGCAGGCAGGGCAGGGCAAGGCAAGGCACAAGAGGAGAGTCGAGGAGGGTCAAGTGAGTGAAGTGAGGTAGGGTGTGAGGTAATGCATGCATGCAGGTGGATGGGGGTCTTGACGGCGGCGCCACCTGCACTGAGGAGCGATGGGTGCCGGAGAACAAGGCGACAACCTTGGAAGCACCGTCTTAAGATGCATATACTATCAGCATTCTACCACCACGTCATGCCAGCAGCTAGAGAAGTCCCTGTGCATATATCTACCTATACAGACATAAGAGAGGTTATCAGTCAGGCCGTCTATCGCGTCCACTCGTTCAGCCAGAGCGACGGCGAGACATGGCCCTGATTGGCTGCGTAGGGGGTTATTTTGGTAGTGCTGCAGTTCCGACGCCGCCTCTCCCGCCAACGACATTGCGTCTCATGCATGGCTCTCACAAAACACCCGGTATGCTGTTCTTCTGAATGCGCATTTGCTCCACCGTTCAAGGTGGCTCCTGGCAAGAGACAAAGTCCCCTAAGCCTTACGACGATGGATGGACACTTGTCGCCTGAGACGGGGGATTACCTAACCCATACAACTGGCCCAAACGGGATCCAAGTTCGTGGCGCAGCAGGCCGACTAAAAATGGAGCATGTCGATCGTCATCGCTTGATGCTTGCGCAACAGCATCTCTCCTGCGACAAGACGGGTATATCCCACATTGCTATTACTCTACACGTCAGGTCGCATCAAGAAGCCGTGCATAGGGAGAGCTCCCTGGCATTGGTCTTGAACGCAATGAGCTCATCTGGCTGTTTGTGACATCACGAGACATATACGAATTCTTAGTCAGCTCGCGCATTCTCCCCTCAGAGCACTACAATCAAGTATGATTATATTGGCTCGATTTAAGCACATCTATCGCGTTGATGAACATAGACCCCATGCTGGTGTTATGAGTCCCGTCCTGGCCACCTAGCGTTTGTGGGGTGCACGCTAGATACACCAACACTCTGGCATCGCATCGTCGTTCGCAACTGATCAGCACAAACATGTTCTCGAACATTGACTTTGCTGGCGCAATCAGAGACCATGGTATTCTGCGCAACCAAAACAATTCCATCCAAGCTTCCTCTATCGCGTCATCCTGCAGCATAGCGTCCATCGCCTGCCTGCCACCCCATTTTCCACCCCTTCACCGACAATCTCAATCTCCATCCGGCAGGTCGAGGAACGACGAACGTGCCCCTCGCAGCAAGCCCCGCTCCTATCAGCGGCATCACTGTCTAATTGAACAAACTCCAGCTTTTGCCCAGCCCCGGCTCAACTCCATGTTGGACAAGCCCCAGAAAGCTTCCTTGGCATCTGGCTAATGAGGCAGGTGCGTACCTGGCGGGCCCTTGGCAACCATATCACGCAAACATTTCCGTTTATCATGTCGTGACGCTGCCCGAGTACCCGGCTCAGCTATAATACCCCGTCATGGCCGGCTAGGTTCTCCAGCCCTCCGTTCTGCATCTCGACTTCTCCACAGACATCTTGGGCCAATTGGGAGAAGATGGCTATGAAGACGGTAATGCTGGCTGCTGGCCTGTTGCTAGGCTCTGCACAGGCCATCACCGTTGAGTAGGCTTCTCCTGATAAAATCATGGACCCAAATTGATCGTGTTAGGGGTGTACTTGCTGCTCCACGAAGAAGCACGGGTATCCTCAGCCCTAAAGGAGTACGTATCACATCGACACCTGTCGTACCCTATACTAAGGTTCGATAGGACCGAGCCCTGTTCACAGAGGCCAAGTACAACTGGACCTCAGAGAAGTCTACAACAACTTGGTACTTCCTGGACACCACGACTGGTAACACCACCAAGGCACCGTTTGGGGGCGCAGTCTCAGAAGTCGTGTGGGTCGGTGACACCGAGGACAGCATCCTCTACGTCAACTCCACCAACGCTGATATTCCTGGCGGTGTGGCACTCTACACCGCTGATCTTGGAAGCGATTCGTTCAAACCGTACGTTTGAAAGTTTGTGTCGAACGACACCAAATACTGACAAGTAACAGGAAACTAGTTGCTTCCTTGCACGCTCCTCTTACAGGCTTGAAAGCTGTGAAGACCAAGTCGGGCGCCATCAACTTCGTGGGCAACTGTCTTGCGTACCAGAGCAACGGCACTGCCTACAATCCAAAGCTTGTTACCGCGCCAAAGAGCACTGGACAGCTGTACTCTTCCAACTTCGTTAGGCATTGGAACTATTACATCACTGCCGAACGATATGCGGTCTTCAGCGGTGTCTTAAACGCCGGAAATGGCAGCTATTCCTATGGTGGTGAACTCAAGAATCTACTGTCGGGTATCAACTCTACCATTACCCGCCCGGAAAGCCCAGTTCAAGGCTCGTCGAGTGATCCAGGCGACTACGATCTCTCTCCCGATGGCCGCTTGGTGGCTTTCCGCTCCAAAGCTCCTGAACTTCCAAAGGCAAACTACACGGCTTCCTACATCTACGTCGTCCCGCATGACGGCTCAGAGGTTGCCGTCCAGGTCAACGGCCCTAACACAACGGCTCCCAAGACTGCGCAAGGTGCATCTGGATACCCCACATGGTCGCACGACAGCAAGAAATTGGCCTTTGGTCAGCAAGATGGCATCGACTACGAGTCAGATAAGTACAAGCTGTACGTTGCAGACATTGACGGTCTGAACTCTAAAGTAAGGTCGGTTGCCGAGGACTGGGACTCGAGTCCTTCAGGTCTCCAATGGAGCCCTGACGATGCCGATCTTTGGGTCACTTCTGAACTGCACGCCTCAGTACGCCTATGGCTCGTCCCACAGGACGCAGCAGCCGACTTCAAGCCATCCAACTTTACTGGTCCCGACACCGTGGTGTCTGGTTTCGGCATTCTGCCCGATGGCTCTGCTTTCGTTGCAGCTGCAACCAGTTGGAGCAGCCGCATTTTCTACAAGCAGCACCCCGGCCAGGACAAGAAGATCCTCTTCACTGCCAACGAGGTCGATCCCGAACTCAAGGGTCTCAAGCCCGATTCTGTCTCTAACTTCTGGATCAAAAATGACGACGGTGATGATATCCAGACGTTTGTCTTCTACCCCACCGACTTTGACCCCAAGAAGAAGTACCCACTCGCCTTCATCATCCACGGTGGCCCACAGAGCACCCAAGGCGACAACTGGAGCACCAGATGGAACCTGCGCCTCTGGGCGGACCAAGGCTTCGTCGTGACCTCAACGCAGTTCACCGGCTCCCCGTCCTACAGCCAAGCCTTCACCGACAAAATCCAAGCAAACTGGGGCGGAACTCCCTACACGGACCTAGTCAAAGTCTTCGAGCACCTTCGCGACAACATCTCGTACATCGACACAGACCGCGCCATCGCCGCCGGCGCCTCATTCGGCTGCTACATGACCAACTGGATCCAAGGCCACGCGCTCGGCCGCGCCTTCAAAGCCCTCGTCTGCCACGACGGCAAAGTGAACCAAGTCGGCTCCTACGCCACCGACGAAATCTGGTTCATCCAGCGCGACAACAACGGCACCATCTGGCACGACCGCGCAAACTACGAGAAATGGGATCCCCTCGCCCACTTTGCCAACGCCAGTACCCCGCAGTTCATCATCCATAACGACCTCGATTACCGCGTCGTCCAGGCGGAGGGCTTGCAGACGTTTAATATTCTGCAGGGTCTCGGTGTGCCTAGCCGCTTTTTGCATTTCCCTGATGAGGGCCATTGGGTTACGAATCGCCATAATAGCTTGTTGTGGCATAAGAGTATTTTTAATTGGATTCGGTATTGGGTGGGGTTGGAGGGCGAGTTGCTCACTGAGGGGGTTATTACGCAGTAGTTAGGATGATAGGGGATGAATATATGGTTTGATGAGTTGATTTAGTTTCTGGAGGTGATGTCGTGATGATGTTGATTCGCGCTGGGAGTTTCTTCCATTCGTGTTTAAAGGACCGTATGCAATGGGTGAGGTGATTCTCATAAGCTTTTGTGATAGACATTGCCATGTATAGGAGTTTTGGTGTCCCAGGTTGTAAGAGGAGGAGAACTTGTGAAGCTTATCCAGAGCACTGTACATTTGGCATTGGAACCATGAACGGTACTAGTTTTAAAGTGTAGTCCTGGAACTCGACCATGTTCGAAATAAGGAGGTATAATTAGTAAGCTGTAGCGTTAGTTTATAAACAATTTTCCTCCTTATGAGGAACATCAAAGTGTTTATATTTTCAACAGGCCAAATTCTACGGCGAGCTATAGCTCAGCTTTAATTCTCTTTACCCGAAGAAAAGACTGTGGAGCAAGTGGATGCTGCCTGGGGGACGGGACGGGGGATCTCCCAGAGAAGGTCTACGCCCCACTGTGTCACACAAGGATGTGGCAGCTGAGTTTCTCGGACCACTTCTGCAGCTGCCGAATCTTTTACGCGCCTTGGAACACCCAATGGGGACTTCGCGACCCCGCCGCAGCCTTGTGTGCATCGCCACCTTCTAGGCTCCTATCTTCATACATCTACCATCCTACTGCCTGTCCCTAGCTGGTAACCATCATCACTATCATCTCCGTTCTCGAACGGAAGTGCTTCTACCATATCCTTCCTCATCTCGAGTCAGCGCGAACGAGCCGATCTAGCATGGAGGTTGCCAAACAGTTAGACGAGGCTGGAGCCTTCGTACACGAACCGCTCGACCAGACTCAACCTTCCATTCGCCTAATCCGCGTCTCACCGGAGCTGTCTGAAGAAGGACTTATCCAGTGTTCCGTTCTCCACACGACAATCGAGGCATCGTACGTTTGTCTGTCGTACAGATGGGGCGACCCGGAGCCCACGAACGCAAAATTTATCTTAATGAACGGGAAGCGGTTTGCTGTTCGCCAAAACCTCTCCGACTTTCTTCGGCTGCTTCAGTCGGAGCCACCGCTGGGAGTGGGGAATGACTACTGGATTGATGCTTTGAGTATCAACCAATTAAATACTTCCGAACGGAATCACCAAGTCACGCAAATGGGCGCGATATACTCTGGTGCGGAACAGGTCCATGTGTGGCTTGGAAAGTGCGCCGACATCCACTGTATACGGCGGGTTTTCGAGAACCTAGATGAACAGACGATTATCAAGAATAACGAATTGGATCTCATCAACCAACACATCATTTGGAACGACTACTGGGCGCGGGCATGGGTGACTCAAGAGATCATGCTTGCACGCAACGTTGTAGTGTCACTGGACACAATTCTGGTCAATTTCTCTCGCCTTGTTCTATTAACCAGAAACTTGTGGCATCAGCCGTCGTTTTCTGCTTTCGCGCAATTCGTCAAATGCTATCAAAACGACACCAAAACTCGAGACCAAAGTCTCCTATCTTTGCTATCGAAGTTCCGAGACAGGAAAAGCAGCGTCCCTCACGATAAGGTTTACTCCCTGCTTTCCTTGTGTCACGAGAAAAGCGTGATTGAAGTTGACTACAATGTCGGACAAGATGATCTGGCATATTCGGTTCTAAGTTGTCGCAAAGAAGATATCTGTATCTGTTCTGCTGCTTTAGTGGCAAAGGCTATCTTCGAGGTCGATCCGCCTAGCCGATGCGCATTCTCAGAGCTATTACTCGAGATTGACATAGCTGGATGTAACTTTTCAATGTCGAAGAATAGATATGGTAGCCACCTTAGTCTAGGCTACCTAGGAGAAGGCGGAACATGTGATCTGTCTTCTTTCAGCTACTTGCTTTTGGGGGAAGGGGTTCACAAAGACTGTCTTGGATTCTGGCTATACGACTTCGCCAAGACACTTGTAAACGACACCGACCTATCCAAGTACTGCAGACGTCTACTCGTATCTGCCACAGTGGCTCAACTCGTTGCAGTTATATCTCACATGGGTTCGCAGAGTGCTATGTATAACTTTTCGTCGGGGTGGAGCATCCAAGTGTTGGAACATGAAACAAATCTATGCAGAGTACGAGTTTTTCTACCCGCCTTGGGAAGCAGTTTGGGGGCTGTAATCGAGGCGTGTCCATCTCCTAAACCATGGCACCAAAAACCTGCTTACGGACCCATCCAAGACATCCGTTTAGTGAGAAGATCTTATGATGGCCAGTAGGGTAATCGCTATATGGAGGAATTCAGTAGCAATGAAAGCAATTATTTCTGATAGATTTTATTCTATTCATCTACACTTCTGGGAACGTAACGCTCGATACCACCAACTTCGTAGTCATTGATTGGGACGATGATAGATCGGCGATTATTTCAACTGTTTTCTCGCAAACATACCATACTGCCGTCATTAACTTCTTTCCCTAGACTATGATTCTCTCCCAATTCGCATCAAGTACTGTTAGCGACACAAACACAGCGTATCTAAATCACTGTAGGTCTTTTGATATTTCCAAAGACATGATATGTCTTACAGTAGGTCTGCCTGAACTAGCTTGCTACAAATGATTGTTGACACAACCCCCGACTTCACTGTGACCAGCTCCAAACGGCATAGAGCAAGCTCCGTTCCTACTATGTATCGGATAGTGGTAATTCGTATCCTATATATCTACTAAAGAGAGCCTAGGGTTGGGGAGTTAGGAGCCTTATTAAGAACGAACTCTTTCACCCTATCGCGCCTAGTTCCTAGAGGATTTATATTTTCCTAGTATTTTTCGTCTATGCTATACCATTTCTCAGATTATATTGTTCGATTGATTTGATTAATACATTTTGTTCCTGAAGGCTTATACTTATATTTCAATCACTGTATTTAGGGCGGATACCGAATGTTCACCATCGCGACAACGAAGAAATTGACCACCTATATACGAAAACACAGCTTCAAGTTATATGACAGCTTCCACCTGTGATCTTAAATTCTACAGCCCCACGATAGCCACCTGCACAGTGAGAACTACGACAGCTAGGCACTCTGATCCGCTGTCCAAAAGTACTCCGACCATTTGGTCCGCTTGAAATTCCACCGATACTACGACAGCACGTTCAGGGAGTCGCAAAGATGTCAGACCTTCCGTATTTTTCAACTCGCCGCGAACCGTCGCGATTTCCGCAGGCCAACATGGATAATGTCGACCCATCATTGATTATGTTATTTCCGGTATCGATTGGGAGTTCCCAGAACTCTGATGAAGACAAGCACAATATCCAGCATGATCGTATTGTGTCTCCACAGGAGGACTGGCACACTTTCCCTTCGGTGTCGGAGGTGATCCAGCCGCGCTCACAACAACAGAGCCACAACACTTCTATCTCCCGCGGGTCTCATAACTACGAGTTGCGACCTTACAACTTTCCGACTCGATCGGGCAAATGGGGCGACGGTGGTGAGGGCTTCCACCATGCCCTCCCCCGATCTGACATCCAGCCGACTGGCCAACAAGTTGCACAGCTCCAGCAACGCAGCAATGGCTTCACGCAGGTGTCACATGTTTACAATCCATACCACCCGACCAGGGCCATGCAGACGGGACTAGACAGACATGTTCTCGTTGCTGCTCAAGAGAAACAGCCTATGAACGAGTTAGACGGTCGGACCATAGCTGGAAACCACTACCAGCCATTTCGACAGCAGTTCGATGCTCATAACCCGGAGTGGCACATCGGGGAGTATAACATTGACGAGCAACAGAACGGTTACCACATTCCTACTATCGAGATGTTGGACGAGGGTACTACAACTCCTGTTCCTATGGCTTCTCAAGCTCCTAAGGCTAAAGCCGAGCGCAAGTTTGCGAAGATGCCGAAATACCAGAGTGGGGAGGCGGAGGAGGGTATTCCAGTTCAAACTAGGAGGACTCAATCTCACAAGGAGAAGGTTGTCGTCGGATCACCTGCGGAGGGTTTACATACCGAGCAAGAACTGAAGCTTTCTGCGAAAGTGAAACCTGCAATCCGTCAAGCTAATGGTCGACTGTCGAACACGATCTACATAATCGGTCGTGGCATTCGCGAGCCAGTGCCGCCAGTGAAACCGTCTGGCCTGTTCTTCGACAGCTACGAGGAAGCCTGCGAAGGTGTCGGCTCTGTAGACTGGATGCCGCCTGCGAACGATACTTCTATTCCTGAAAATACGACAGAGATTCGCCCTCATGTCCTCAAGCTACGCGATGCGATGATGGATATGAGTGCTTACGGGGACAACCCGAGCAAGAAGATGCAAAACAGATGGCTCCCTCTGGGTTGGGTGGCGGCCCAGACGCCTCAACGTGGTGATGTGCTTACCAACCCTTACAATCCAAAGCAGTGGCTTGAGAAGCGTTGTTGGGACATTGTCGTAAGTACCATTCTTCTGTAACTGGTATACAATCATTAAACTCCACTTAGATGACGTGCATTCGCCTCCACCGCGAGGGCCCAGGGTTCATCTCGTGCCTCGATCCCCTAACTCTAGAGAAGTCTTTCAAGTACAAAGACCTGACCTTCTCGGAGCGTATTGGACTTATAGTAGACATGGTATTCTACTGTAAGAACCGTGTCTCAGCACTGATGACTGGGGGCTTTGGCGTGGTTGAAGAGTACCTACTTATCCCTGGTGATCTTGTGAAGACTAGCAAGGAGAACGGGAAGCACAACAAGTTGCGCCAGGATGTTTTGAGCTCATTCCGGGAGCCTTACAAGGAGAGGCGTGCACAGGAGGCTGGTAAGCGATTATCATGAGATTATCATCAATTTTAAAGCTGTCGCTAATAGCATCAGCCGCTGCTGCTGCCGCCGCTACCGCCGCCGGTGAGATCATTCCAAGTCTGTCTCTTAATGCGGGTAGTATGAATTCTGCGGAGTCAGGTACGTCTATTATTCAACGATTTTCCCAATCTGAAACTAAGAGCATTTTACATCTAGATCTCAGTGAACGCGACTTTGATGAGTTTGTGGAAGTGGCAGCCACTGCTTATAAGTCTACCAAGAGTAAGCGTAGTCACGCCAACGGCGGCATGCCCGTAAAGGATAGGCCGAAGCGTGCTTCGAAGAAGTCTGGTAAGCTATCTTCTTAGATCTTTACAACATAGCTGATGGAACCATCAGCTTTGAAGTCTGGCGATCAGTTTCAAGAAGATATGTTCAACGACCACGATGAGCTTTCAGGTATTATACCATTCTCATGTAGGCTCATAGTCAATGACTAATGATGTCACAGAAGAGAATACCGAACTTCTTGACGACTCTTCAGTCCTTAATCCGATCATAGAGCCGATCTCCAAATCTGGACACGGGAAACGCAAGCGCGGGCAGACCAATGTGGATACGCCTTCGACGATCAAGGCAAAGCGTGGTCGCAAGGCCTAGCGGTCTTCAATCCTCGCGCCACGACGCTCCTCCTTTCCTGATAGCAGCCTCCTCAATCTTCAGTGGATTGACAGCTATCCTTTCTTTACGATAGTACTGTTTCTTTTTCTTGTGCCGCAGGATATGCTTCCATCCAGCAATTCCTGCATATAAGCTCCTATAATAGGAAACGAACAAAGACGTTGGCCCGGATAATGGAGTTGGTGGTCGATTTTCTTTAATGAAAAATATACAGCCTCAGTGATTGGCTGTACGGCGTTTGGGTTTGCTGCATCTCCAGGCGCAATATACCCATCAAGTAGCGTAGACACAACTTTGATATCATGATGCAAACCTGCTTAAAACCACTTACTCTCTACTGAACACCTTGTACGCCTGATTATGGTCATACGGTGAGTAATTCAGGTGGAATCTCTATTCTTAGATGACACTCTAGTTCTTTTTGCTCAAGGCTTTGTAGTGCTACTGAAAGCGCGTCCACTATATTTGCTTCTATGATCATCAGCACGAAGTAACAAAGTAGTAGAAAATTTGAGCATAACACTGGACTAGCATCACTTCCGTCACTAATAGCAGTCATCAGTGTCTCGAATATGGGACATCATCTCGCCCAGGAAAAGTTTCAGTGGAGCATCCTTCTTTGTACAAACAGCCAACAGCTCAAATTATAGCAAGCTGTTTCTGCAACATAGGCCGAAGACTACAGTATATTCGCGTCGAATGGTTTAGTTCACCACGCGTTCAAAAGCCTGCACATAAATGACTGACACCTACATGGCCTACCTTCATGCAACTTCGCCGCCTGACGTCAACAGATCATCTGCTACAGTCAGCTCTCCGAGAGCATCATGTTCCAAAAGCTATAGCAAGCATCTAGGGACTTATAATGAGAATTATGGCCTGTAGTTCCTTTCTTGAGAAGACAGGGACGAAGCATCAAGCACAAGCTGGCATGAACGACAACGTACCGAGATGCCCCAGACCTGTTGAACCACTTAAACGGACACCGTCTTCTGCTCTTCCTCCTACAGTTCAGTTATATACGCTCTTTACTCCCATCTACCTAGTTCGTCATTCGTATATTTGCCAGCTCAATTTTGCTTCACCTTCCCACTGCTGCTGTACTGCACCCAACTGCGCGATTAACAGCGCGACGCGGTGGCTCGGACCAGGACAGACGTCATGAAACCCTCGTCCTGACCAGATATGCCTCGATTCGGCAATTCCGCTAGACTAAGAATGGAGAGATACGAGCTCTTAGCGCGGATTTCATTCACCCTGCTGCAGCAGCGGGTGTTAGTCAGCCCGCTCCCCTCCCCAGGACTTTATCAACGCGTCCAAAGTACCCCCACCGTGTATAGAAAGACACCGCGATTCCACCCACCGCAATTGACCTTCCCACTCAGTCTATTGCGGCGACCTAACTCTTCCTCTCCGACTGTACCTACCCTCGGATCTCCTCCAGTGTTACCGACGCGGTACCAGTAACGACAGCCCTTCAAGATGTCGGGCTACTATCCCTTCCCACAAGAGCGCCGCCAGATGGAGCGCCGCCAGACAACTCGCGCTCCGCCCTCACGTATGGCCGACTTCGACCTATCTCCGACCTCGACCTCGACCGACAACCACAACAGCTCCAACAGCTATGGGTCCACCATTCACCGCATAGAACAAACATTCCGTGGGCAACCCCCGCTCAACTTCGGGCCCTGGAACGATCCGCTGTCGACACCGGAGCTGCGAGCTCATCAGCAGTCGCAGATGGAGTTCCACCAGACGCCTGCCGGCGACAGTTTTCAAGAGCAACAGAGAACTGCTCCTCCAACAAGCGGGTTCGCTGAACGCTTGTTTCCTTCCCAAGACGACAGCCTTTTCTTCTCTCAAGCCTACCCGGCTCCTCACAATCAGCTGGGTGGCAACACCTCAACGCATTCAAGGTCAGAATTCCTTGACTGGGCCGACAACGCCCTCCAAACAGACTCCGGCTTTTCTCAGCAGGCGCCGCTGGCCAATCTACCGCCAGTCCCCCATCATCGAGGTTCTCGCGTTCCGCAGTTGTCACACACCTCCCACCCTGGTGCCCGTGGCTCCATCCCTAATGCCACACGATTCCCTCACAGCGCTGCCTTCCTCCAAGATCAGGAGCTTACTCCGGACGCTCAGTGGCCGCTCAGATTTGCTCCTGATGGTACGAGCAACACTCAAGCTGAGTGGTCTGGCGAAGAAGATAGGTTCGACTTCTTTGTGAACCCTAACGCCCTCAACGATGACCACCAAGGCGCTGGTTCCTTCCATGAGGCAACTCCTAACCCAGCGACCCCTCTAGTTGCTACTCCTTCGAACACCGCCTACACCAGGCCTGTCCTGGCCCCTGGAGCTCGAAAGATAGCTATTCCGAGGGCTAGAGCGCGTATCGCTGTCGATTCTGGATCCAGAGCTGGGTCGAGCGCTCCAAGCCAGGACTTGGACGCTGTTGTTGGGGCTGTGAAAAAGCGAGGAAGCAAGTCGTGCAAAGACAGTGACAAGGTCCCTGAGCAAGCACCATCTCTTCGACCATCCGGCTTGTACTTCAGCAGCCTCCAGCATGCCCGACAAGAAGTGAAGGGGCTCAGGTGGGATCCACGCCCCGATGAGACGTTGCCAACCAGCCAGGAGGAGCGTGAAGCCGTCGTCCAAGAGCTGTTCGACGCCATGCAAGACATGAGCGTTTTCGAGGACAAGAAGAGCAGCAGCGTCCTCAAGAAGCGCTGGCTGGGTGAGGCAACACCTACGGACGACAAGGAGGGCTCCAAGAGCGATGAGGAGGACGAGAGTGCTGACGTCGACGACCCTGCAACCACCCAGTACATTGCCAGGGACGATGTCTACAAGCCTTGGGTGAAGGAGAAGATTTGCTGGGAGATTGTCGTAAGTAACACCCACAAGACCACCTCAACACTCAGCACTAACACCCTGACAGGAGACTGCCGAGCGTATCTACGTGGAAGGCACCGACTTCGTCTCCATCCTGGACCCGGCCACTCTCCGAGAATGCGAGAAGTGGCGCCACCTGACCTTCCGCAAGCGCATAGACACGCTCGTCAAAGTTTGCAGGAAGTTCAAGAGTCGCGTGGACAAGATGCTGCGCGGGGGTGTCATCGAGGAGTACGTGCTTTGCCCGGGCATGCTTCTCAGGAACAGCGAGATGAACAGGCACCACAACGATGTGCGCAAGGACGACATCACGGCGGGTCGACAGCGTGCTGGGAGGCCAAGCAAAGCGGGTGAGTGTTTCTGATTTTTTATACTTTTGGCTCCACTAACGATTGTAGTTGCTACTGCCGCAGCTGGCAAGCGGAAGCTCAAGGATTCGGACGATGACGAGCCGGCCGTGGTGAAGAGGGTGCGATTCAAACGAGACTAGAACGGTTGAAAAACGTTCCGTTATCTAGTCGTCGGCTCTAGCCTATATGTTTGACCAACTCGCATCGCTTCGTATTTGAGGAGCTGTTTTTCGACGGACCTTTGCAATAACTTGTGGCAGGGTTCCCTGTATAGTATAGCATGTCTCTTTGTTTTCAGTTTCGGACTTAGGCCCACATAAAGAAGCTGGCCGGCGAAGGTTTTTCATGTTGTTTTTCAGCGTTTGACTTTGGATAGCATGGCTCTGATTTATGCGACGGCGCGATGGCGAAGCTTCGATTTACCGGTTCGGTTTGGATCGCAATTTTGAATACACGAAGCATTAGTAGCGTTCTTCTTTTCAAGATTCAGCGGGATGGGGTTTGATTTGCGGCATTTGAAGGCGTTCTATACCCATCGTCAGTAGATGAATCACGAGTTACTTTTAATTCCACACGTATTACCCTCCAAGACATTGTAGAAGATGCCGTGCATAGCTTACAGCGCATCCAGGGCAGTATCGCCATACTCCTAACATCTGGGTCCGATAGAGCGTTGAACCTTCACCTTCGGGCCAGCATTCAGTGTAGAACATATGTGCAGCTTTTCAGATGATGCAGTGCGGGGGAAAACACGCTAAACGCGAAGACACATGACCACGAACCATCGCAGAAAACCATTAATGCTGGCATCCCCCATGGAAGCTGACTACATCACCTCCTTTGATGACTTAGATACACACAGGTTCCAGCAAACAGGTCCGAGCAGCATGAAGTGATACCAAGTCTGCCAAGCTATCGAACAAGGCCTCGATTGATGAGCTTGGTACGTCGTCCAATGGCGCAACATCTCACCGCAGAGGTGATCTTTCTGACACGACCGCCCCTGTGCACATCAATCTTGACGCCGACGCCAGTCTCTTCACTCTAAGCAATCTAGCCGAAATGACAGCAACGTTAGAGTCAGACGGCCTAACTCTGCTGTCGCGCATGCTCATACTTCTTGCTCATAGCTATTGTAGTTTCGTGCCATCGTGCGCCCTCGTCCTACAACACCACGCTTATTGAAGCTATCAAAACACACGCAACACAACGCGCAACGTAACCGGAGTGTGCCAGCGCATCGCTACAGTAGATCCCGCTCCATCATGCAATAAGCCCGAGAACGCTCCTTGCCAAGACGGTCTCCGCCCCCATTTCAGCCCGCACAACACGGCTCCCGCTACAACCATGCAGCATGCGCGATTGGACCCGCATATCGTCACCTATCCCCTTGCAGTAACTTCCGCAAATCGAGGGGCTCAAATTAGACTGCCACGGAGAGATGTCAAACGCACGTCTAGACGCAGGGTCGTTATTGGTGACAAGAGAGACGGACCGTGACAGGGGCACGCGACCAGTGGAAATGTGATGTGCACAACACAACGTGTTTTTTGCGGGCGAGCACACGATCACTTTTACTTCATTTTTGCGAACTGGACTCAGGAGAGAATTGAGAGTCAAGCATGGCGGAGAAGACGCAAACCACGGCGAACGTGTCCAATGGCACAAAGACGCCTCGACCACCGTTGAAAAAGCAGGACACGGATAAGGATCTCGACGACTATTTCGTATGTATTCTAGTCTCGATTATACTTTCGTAACAACCTCGACAACCGTCAAGAGCGCTGCTAACGTCCCCAGATCGGACCGCGAGACCTCGATCACCACTCGAAATGGCCCATCTTCTTGCGCCTGCACGGCAGTATCACACCAGAGATGATCCTCCCTCTTCTGTTCATCGCCTGCTGGTCAACTCTGATCACTTGTATCTCGAAATTCGTACATGATCGTAAGCTTCCTCCTAAGCCCGAGAAAAACAACGCGCTGACATGGATTTAGTCGGCATCAATCAGCTCCTCCTCACAGTCCTCGGTTTCGTCGTCGGTCTCGCCCTAAGCTTCCGTAGCTCTACCGCCTACGAACGTTACAACGAAGGTCGCAAGTACTGGGCACAGCTCACCCTCGCTTCCCAGAACCTGGCGCGCTTAATCTGGATCCATGTGGACGAGCGGCACGGAACGGACGCTGCAACCGGCAAGCAAGATCTTCTGGGAAAGATTAGTTGCCTGAACATGATCGCCGCATACGCCGTTGCGCTGAAGCATAAATTGCGGTTCGAGCCGTACATGCACTACGACGACTTGAAGCATCTCGTCGGGCATTTGGATACATATGCGAAAGCTGCAGATCAACCTGATGCGAAGAAGAAGCAGAATCCCTTAAGGACAGCAGGTCAATTCCTCGGTGTGCCCATGGTTGAATCCAACCCCCGTAAACTCCTCAAAAGGGCCCGCGTGCCTCTCGGCAACCTCCCTCTAGAGATTCTCAGCCACCTTTCTGCGTACATGAAGACCATCTACGACAACGGCACATTCAAAGTCAGCATCTACCAGACGCAATCTCTCAACGCGCTCACGACCATGAACGACGTGCTTACTGGTACTGACCGCATTCTCAACACGCCTCTTCCAATTGCGTACTCCATTGCTATCAGCCAGATCACTTGGGTCTACATCATCCTCTTGCCATTCCAACTATACAAGAGTCTAGGCTGGGTCACAATCCCTGCCTGCGTGTTTGCTGCATACATTATCCTGGGTATCGCACTTATTGGCAGGGAGATCGAGAACCCCTTCGGCGACGATGTGAATGACTTGCCGCTGGACGCGTTCTGTGAGCAAATCCGCAAGGACGTGGATATCATCATGTCGCGCATCGCTCCGCTCTCCGACGAGTTCGTCTCCCACGAAGACAATCTACCTTTGTACCCACTTTCTCATCTCGGTAGCACGAGCTGGGCCGACAGGAGTGTCGAGGAGATCAGGGATGCATTGGCGAGCAAGCCCGGCCTGCATTACCCAATGGTCGAGCACAACGAGCATCCGAGGCCTCATTCGAACGAGGTTAGGAAGACAGAAGCTAATCGGGCTGAGAGGGGCGAGGCTGGATGTGGTGCGGCGGCTGGTACTGAGTAAGACGAAGAGTTGTAGAAATGTTGATTTAGTCAATGAAGGTGGAGTTTCTTTAGCTTGCTTATGTTACTATACCCTGTCTACCCTACCTACCCTCTCTTCATCTATCAAGCCATCAACCCGCTCCCAGTTAATAGTAAACCTATCGAACACCATATGTCACTCTGCAACACTCATGCTTTCGCTGGCCCCTTCGTCCATTTGCTCCCTATGCCCCCAGATTCCTCAATGTTCCCCATCATCTTCTCCAAGCTCCACGCCTGCCTCTCTTCGCCCACCCCCAGGAAACCCAAGTCGCCTAGTAACTGCTGCGTTTTGCGCCCGTACTCTTCGGATTTGGCGCGATCGCCTTTCTCGCGATACAGCATAGCGAGCATAGCATACGAGTCCGTAAGCGTGGGGTATATTCCTGCCTCAAAGCATCAGTCTAAATCCCCACAACAAGATCAAACAAGCAAACAACTACCTACCTTCCTCCCTTATCATCTCAACAGCCTCTTCGGCAAGCGCGACAGCATCATCAAACTCCCCTGCTTCCGCGAGCTCAATCATCTTCTCCTCAGCCTGCGCGATCATCGTTCGTCGAAGATCAGACGCTTCGCGCTGCCTCTCTGGCAGACTGCACAGGTCGCAAGTACACGTGAAGCCCCAGCGGTGGATGAGGTGTTGGCGCTTGGCAAACGGGATGCCGAGGAGGAGATAGGAGATGGTGATTTCTTCGCCGGGTGCGATGTCGCGGTAGGCTTTTATTGCCATGGAGACGCCTGCGCGGGAGAAGAGGACGAAGGAGTTTGGGGCGCAGGCGTGGTTGATTCGCTGGGTTGGGGTTAGAAAGCCTGGAGTGGAAGGGAAGGGTGGTGACGACGCACTGATATCAAGGGGTACAGCACTCGACTGTTGACCTCCGCAACTGTCCCTCCAAACGCGTTGGTTTTCATAACGTCTTCTTCTAGCTTCCCTTCTTCTTCATCTTCTTCTTCCCTATCATCAGCACCTGCAAAACCCTCCTTCTCCCCCGCTGTCTTGTGCTTATGCCCCTCATGCTTCCCACTCATATCCCTGATCATTTCCGGCACGAGTAACCTGTCCACAGCAACTTTAAGCAAGTTCTGATTCTCCTTCTGCGAAAGCGCCTTTTCCGCCTCCATATCTACAACGACCGCCGCTTGATCCACCATGAACGTCTCATACTGCTTGATCTTTCGCGTTGCCACTACGCCCTTGTCCTTACCTGGAATATCGACTATCGTCCACGGCGGGCCGTCGCCTAGAAAGAGATTCTCTGCTTCCGCCTGGGTGAGAAATGAGTCCAGGGGGTTGTCGTCGAGATATTCTGTAGCGAGGTGTGCGGAAGATGGAGGGAAGATGAGGCTAAGGCCATGGGGTCCGGTGGTATTCGAGGTGTAGACGCAGTATTTTTGGCCGAGGGTTGGGAGGCGTGTGGATGTTGTGCAGTGCGGTTTGTGTGACCATGGTGCGTACGGTCGCTGCTCCTCGTGATGAGTGAGCAATTTTGAATCGAGGTTTGGTTCGAGAAGGTTGTTGATGTCTAGGACGCCTACGGATGCGTGGGCGTGGTGGAGAGTGAGGAGGCAGATGGCTGTCGCGCAGACCGAGAGAAAAGGCATGCTGATAATCTGTGGACGCTGGAAACTACAGAAAGGAAACGTTCCATCATAACGCGAAGGACAACACAGCCGATTTCTTAATATCAATGTCAGTCGTGGTATTCTTGAAACGACAATGCATGTCTGTATGCTTTACCCGGAAATTTACCCCCATGCACACTTGACCAGATCCCAAGAACTTGGTACTTTGTGCGCGATGTTGGCGCTACAAATCAACCAATAAGGAAGAATTATTGATATCAGCAATTTATCTGCGGGATTAGCTGCAAGCTCGTGCCTAGGGAATTAGATGTAAAATTTAAAGATCGGTCCCCTGCAATTACACAAAGTCACTTTGGATTCCCCAATAGATTGTCTCCACCTTTTGAACAGCTAATCTTTAGAATAAAAAGAGCTTTAAAAATGAGAAAGTATTAACTTGGATAACTATTGCCTATTAAGAAAGTTGGAAATTGCCAGGGCCTTGCAAGAGATTAGGTTTAAGAGATAAAGATAACACTAAAACATCGTGTTTCTAGGCCAGCATTATGTTCAAAGAGCTTCCTGCATCTTTTGTATACTCTGTCAGGCATCTGTCTATTTCCTGTCACATTGGACGTTATGTAGGTTTGGATTATAGGTAGTTTAATTGCCTCATTTAACGGATGCACAAATGTCCTTGAGGACTGCTTGTTGAACTGCGCGGTGAAGATGGGTGCTCTAAGAGCGCTTGGCATGTCCCGGAACAGCACAACGCCCTCGCTGACATGACTGGCGTCATAGTCAGTTCCGATATTGATGATTTCAAAGTCATGTCAATAGTGGAATTAAAACAGCGAGTATAATAATTACGTAAGCAACCACGTTCGGTGAGCACCACATACGCGCTTGCCAGTTGCCTTGCAGAGTCTTGGCATACTGCGTGAATGCTTCGACATTTTACATGTTCCCTGACCTGGGCTATCACGTAGGTCTGCACCATAGCCTCCAGGAATTGACCCGTCTTGGAACATGATCAGTTGACATTTTCGTTGAACCATGCGATGTTCAGCTACCTCCAAGCCTGTGAGGCGGGCTTTCATATAATCGTCGATATCAAAACCATGGCCAGCACGCGCGCTGAGGCCCATTATGCCTTATTCTACTGCCGTGCGGGCAACCTCGTTTGTTGGGAGTGGGCGCACGTTACGGTTACGGTTTGCCATGATGGCTTGAGTTAAGTTAATTTAGACTAGGGATTCGAGTTTTCATACGTTTGAGTGAACTTGAAGAGTATTTAAGGTGATGTGATTTGGATGCTGAGCGGAAGCTTGGAGAATACAAGTTGGTGTCCCTGCACGAAGTCGTTAAAAAAATGAAATGAGCCGTAATCTAAAGGAGGTCACCGTATACAAAAACTGCGGTCATGCCTCCATAACCTAAGCTGTAACGTCTTCAAAAGGTTGAAATTTCTACATACACGCTCACTGCGTTTTACGGTCTTCAGTTTCAGCCTCCCTTCTCTCTAGAGTCCAGAGGTCACTCTTTGTTGAGTCCGTGTTGTTGAAGATACGAGCCCCCATGGGAAGAAAAAAAGCAAACTTAAACCTGTCACTATCGTGATCATGGCCTCAATCTCGGACAATGTCAACATCCTATATGGGAATTGTCGGTGATAAGTATGTATTACTTTGTAAATCTAGACCTCGCATTAGCTAATTGTTCAAGCAAGTCGAATTGGCAACTTTACATAAAAACAAATCGGCGTCAATAATACAGCTATGAACAATGCTCCAATTATGAACAAAGAGACTTCGTGTCGGCGATTTCTGGCGTCAAGGGTTGCTAGGGGAGTTGGAAGGGCTGTTCGTCCGTTATCTCTGGTATGTACCTAGTAGAGCATTAGCGGGCTTGGAAAATCAAGGAGCCAAGGACACGTACTTTGGTGGGGTCTCGGTATTTTGTCCCTGATGCTAGTTGTAGATCTTGCATCATGTTTTTTGTTGTGACAAAGCCGACAAAAGAGTACGCTGGATTCTCAGGAAGCATGTTCCATACACAAACTGGCATCGAAATGAGGACTAGTTTCGAGAAACTGCCGTAAAAGCCTTCGACTTTGATTCTGGTCGCAGATGCAGGTAACAGGCGTAATATCTCTGTGTATATCCTGACATTCTCACTCGGATTATTCTCGATTTCGTTACTGTCAATGCTAATCGATACGAGTACCTGGGCTTGATCTGGCTCGTGGAGGTCACTACTCGTTGTCTTCCCAGACGATGATCTACTCTCGTCACCAACGTGAGATGCTGTTGAACCAGAAGCTGACGCTAGACTCGAAGGCGAGCTTCCTGTTTGCGGGGACGATACCGACGGCAGATTTAGCCCAGACTTGAGAGGTGCTAACATGATACTTCTGTATATCGTCTCATTCGTCAGAAAACAGTGTACCGCCGTTACCCGTTGCTCTGCTTCAGTAGGGATTGTACCATCTTCGTTCTGCCACAAGTTACCATCCCGATCACGCTGCAATGAAGGTTTCCAGGTCTTAAGTCTCCAAAGGATTCTTCCATGCAACTTTGCTACCGCGATTGGGGGTCCTTGGCTCGCGATTTCTAACTCGCGAATGAGGGCATCGGTGAAAGAGTGTGGCCCTACTCCCGAAGCTGTCGTCTCAAACCCACAGGCCGCGATGGCTTCTGTTACACCATGATCTGAATCTGTCAATGTAGGGTGTGCCGCATGGCAACAGTCCAACAACAATAAAACATCCGAATCAGCCTCCTCCAACTGAGATTGGATTGAGTTGGATGGAAGTGTTGGGCTTGAGGGACCTCGATTCCTGTGCACGTCAACCCCATGGCCGATGAATTGTGAGAAAGAGACTTACGCAGCCCACATTGGTACTCGTTGCTCATTCAAAAATCCATGCCCGGCGTAATATACAATCAATAAGCGGTCTTTGCTATCATATCTCTCAAGAAACTTGCCGACTTCGAGATTGAGCTTTCTTTCTGGTTTGTGCTGAGGAATCCACCACTCGGTAACTTCGTAGTGAAATAGATCACAAAAGGTTCTCTTCAAGTCTTCAATTTCCCTGTATACTCCAAGATCATCGTCTTCCCAGCTTAATATCAGAACCTTTACGTCTGAATATCGGCTTTCATGTCTGGTTGCCCATACCGCTTGCACCGCCGCTGAGAGGTCTTTTGAGAATAGCTGCAAATCGTGTATATGTGCGTTGGTAACAACATTGTGGGTGTTGAGTGGAAGGGGCAGGGTAAATGGGGCCGAGCGAGTCACATTTCGACCCTCTGTTTTGTCGACTGGTGTATCATTCAAGGGTGGGGCACGTAGAGGCTTGCCATCTTGCTGGGGCTGATCCATTAAGCTTTCGGAGAAATTAATGCTTGGTCCTCTACTAAATAGCGAAGTTAGTAACCAAAGCCGCGTTATGATCACATAGCGATCCTTATAGATTAGGCGTCTTACCGCCCAAAAGGTTACCTAGCGGAGGCTATCCAAGTCGAAGCTGAGTGATAGAGCTATCGAAAACCCCAAGAGATAAGTTAAAAGACATTGGAAGGCATTAAGGCTATTTATTAGATAGGCCTTTATCGTGCGACTAAGGTACGACTAAGGTACGACAAAGCAACAGAGTTCAGCTGCCTCCCTCGTTGAGTTAAGCGAGTGCGGCTACTCTTTGCTTTTCCTAGGCAGTAGCGTCAGGTTACCCCACCTTCAAGAGTCTAGATGCGATAGCTCCTCCTACTTACTATGCTGTGCTTGTTAACTGCTTGAGTACCTCCACGATCTATAACAGCCCAAATAAACAATCCTAATACAAGATGGCAGCCGTCCTTGAGAGAGGTGTTGACAGAGACTGAATTTAGCCTTCTTCGTTACAATAGAATAAGCCCGCCACAGCTGATGTATCAAAACTTGCAGCCCCGCACTTTAATATAGAATAAAACTAGGCCAATTTCATCTAGCTGCACAGTGAGATCGTCATTTGTGGCTGTGTTGCAGTACTAGCACCACTCAATCCTGAAAATGATCTAGGCCTTGTCAGCCATGACTAATTGCTGTTCTTTAACGACTCCCGCGGCCAGATTGCTGGCCCCGTATCTAGCCTGTTCGTTACAAGTAGGTTTTTATTGACCAGACACACTTGAGAATCCAGTTTCGACGTCCGGCAATCAGCGCGAGGCTGAGTTAAAGCCTAAGTAGTCGGAAGGCGAAATGGCGGCCACCCAGCTGAGTTCGGGGAGCGTCCTTGATAGGTAGGTGCTTTTGTGCTGGTTTCACCGTTACATGGCATTGACCGTCTAGTAGCGACCCACAAGCACTTTTCGCCAGTATATACGAGAAGTTCAAAGATGCACTACCACCAGGCATCCAGAAAGACTTCGCCGGGTTCAAAAGTCCCTCTGAAATGCTTCAGAATTTCAATCGCCTCGTGGAGGATAGCAAATCACGCTCAGGAATGGCTGGGCGGTCCCTGAAGGTGACTGCTAAGCTTGCGGAAAAATTAGGTCCATATTTTGAAGTCATCAATATCTACGTGCAAAGCCATCCTGAGTATGCTGCCTTGGTTTGGGGCACATTAAGGTTCATTTTTCTAGTAAGGAAAAGCTGTTGTCCTCCATGCCTATTATATTGACAAATTTGGTCAGGTTGCGACAAATTACACGACCTTCCTCACCAAAATCGAAACTATGCTGTTTCGGATGACAAATACTATGCCTAACTTCCAATTGTTTCTGTCAAAACTTCAAGAAAATAAGGTTGTCACCGCAGCAGAAGTTGTTCCTCGTCTCACTCAAGCGTTAGCATACATTTATAGCGATATCTTGTCGTTCTGTCATCGGTTGTGCACACTTCTCCATCCAGAGCAGAAAGGTTCGACCCATGAATGCTTCATTATACAATAACGGCCTAGTTCCTAACGTGCACACGTAGGGATAAGATCCAGATGGAAGCGCTTCAATAACATGGCATTTAAGCCATTCGACGCGCACTTTGCCGAGATTCTTGAGAAGTTTGAACTTCATTCAGAGCTATTCATGGATCTCATGAACACTACGTCTGCTGTTGCGGCTCTTGAGTTCTACGACCGATGGAAAGTTCACATGATGCATGTACAGCTGTCCCTGGATCAAATGCAAAACCAACAGCAGTCACAAGAGAAGGAGAATGATAAGATTTTGATGAGTAAGTGAACTAAAGGTTCTTAAGTAACATATCAATCGCTAACTAAGATTGGAGACGCTGCTATTGTAGATCTTCAGCGAAGGGTCGGTGCCCCTATGTGGGCGACTACATTCGAACACGCGCGGAGCCATAGGGTAGATGAGTCGGGCGAATGGCTGCTAGCTCATCCTCTCGTGGCAGGGCTCATTGAGGATAGTAGTGCCGCGACTGCGAGACGACCAAACGTTTTGTTTCTATACGGTGAATATTGATGGGATTCTGCATCTTGTGCAGCAATCAGTCTTACTGACGATTTAACCAGGAAAGCCGGGCTACGGCAAGACGACACTCGCAACGGTAGTGATTGACCATCTCAGAGATACGGCTTCGTTACGCGGGAAGAATGGCCCCGGTTCTCTCGCGTTCTTCTTCTTTGACAGGCAAGGCCGATTTAACTCCTCACACGATGCATTTCGCGCTCTACTAGCCCAGTTGATATTTTGCCGACGATTTGACCGCATTGTCCTAGATATCGCAGCAATTACACGGTCTGATCACGACACTGGGCAGCAACTGGCTTCGGACGATGAAGTATTCGCCATACTGCATCTGTTTCTTCTGCAATTTTCCAATTGCGCCTTTGTATGTGACGGTGTAGATGAATGCAAAGACAGAGACAACTTTCTAAAGAGGTTGAGTCGGCTCGCTGCCGATCATGAAGAATGCCAATTCATACTATTGAGCCGCCCAATAATCAAGATCCCAAGAGAATTTCGAAAACGCTGCAACATCTTGGAAATGGACCATACGCAGAACATTGAAGACTTGACAAATTTTGTTCGCCCACAAGTCGAGGACCTCGTCGAAGGTGGAGAATTAGTTCTTCTCGGTGCCACCTCTGTTGATGATCTCACATCCAGCATTTGCACTCGATCAAATGGGATGTTTCTATGGGCAGCACTGTTTCTTGGTTACCTCAAGTTACCCTCTCTTTCCATCTCACAAAGACGCGAGGCGCTTGAAGACTCACACAAGTTCGAAGGTCTATTCAGTCTGTATGATGGTATCCTCGAGTTCATTGAGAAAGAGTATCCCAGACTTTCGCGCCGCAATATCCGACGGGCATTATCCTGGGTGGTCGGTGCATTTCGGCCTCTTCAAGTGGACGAATTACAGGCTGCAATCGCTCAAATGGACGACAAGCCTTTCGATGAAGCTGACACCATCCCCAACTTCGAGGAATCCATTGGGCCAATGACTGGAGCCTTGATAGAAATCACCAAGGACAAGGCTGTCCGTCTGATTCATATAACGGTCGCGGAGTATTTGGTGTCAAATTCAGAGACCATCAGACCCAGCTTCCGCGATGAGAGTATATTGGACTTTAAGCAAGCTGTTGTGCAAGTTTATCTCACGACGACCTGTCTTGCCTACATGGTTCATACGGTCCCGATTGGTCCATATGCGGATAGATACTCCAAAGACACCGATTTTGCCTCGACACGAAAAGAGTACCCACTGTTTGCTTACGCGGCGCAATCCTGGACTTCGCATCTCCGAGAAGTCACCGATCAGTTTGCAACTTCTTCATATGTTGATAGCCTGTGCATCTTCGAAGAACTTGGTCAGCGGGCAATATTGTTCCTATCCAACAAACTCAAATTTACATCTTGGACTGAGGCGCTGTGGCATATGAGTTGCCCACAGGAAGCTTGGGCAATGGAGTCCGTAGACTGGAAAAGGATTGATTCCATCTACAACGACAGCGAAATAAAGACCGCTGCTTCTTTACTGCACTTGGCCTTTGAAGAACATAGAGGACTTGTTAAGTCTTGGGGCAATGTTCTACAGAAGTATCCAGAAGAATTATGGCAGCCAAGCATCTCCGCTTTCTCCGAATCAATGCTACGAAAGACTACAACCGCAGCGGAAACCACAAGCATTCTACACAATTCTACAGGAGGCCAAGATTCGACTGTTCTACAGACAAAGTGCTCATCATCAGGGCATGCGATTGGCATACTACGCGCGCAGTATCAGTCAAAGTAAGGCGACTATCTTTACAAGTCATGTTCCTCGTAGCCCACTACTAATACCGCTAGTGTAACACACTACATGTACCAAAGTGATAACCCGACTGATTTGTCTCCGATCACGGTGACCTATGAGATTCGTTCCCTGAATGACGACCAGCTACTCTTCGAGACTACCTTGGAAGTCCCGCGTAGGGATGTGTATATAACCAGTCGTAAAAGGACGCCGGATTCATTTCACCAGAAACAGGACAGCTTTTCCATCGAAACCTCGATCAGCACAACCTTGATGGAAGTCATAGTAGGGTGCACGCTCATGAAATTGGCGGTGAGCATGGAAGCTTCAGGTCCACAGTTTCAATGTACTAAACATACCCTCGGATTTCTTACAGACAACTCTGGCTTCCAGAGACCTCATTCCTCGGGATCGTTATGGAAGCTATTCTTGAGCCCTGGAGCGGAGTATTTACTCCTCTTACGCAATGCCACCCAACCAGAAAGTGGTTCTGTCAAAGGTAAACCATTCTGCGTAGATATATTTCAGGACCCCAGATGCCACCGGAGTCCCATGGAGCCAAGATTTGCTTGGGTAGCATGGAAAACCATCGCTGTCAGTGATTCACTTCATTGGCTTTTACTTCGGCTAACAACAATAACGTAGAATACGCCTACATTTAGTAAAGATGCCAATACTGATACCAAGTTCGGTTCCGATGATGATGATGATGATGATAATGATGATGATGATGATGATGGTTATGAAGATGGTTATGAAAGGAAGACGGAGGATTTCCAAAACCAGCCATTTGATAGGTCCTTGGATACTACCACCCCGTCTCCTGACAAGATAGCATTGGAGCTCTTGGGTGATACTAATCTACCGCCAATACTTGCTTATTGGCCTAATGGTTCATCATCTCAACCTATAATCGACACTGATTTGGACAATGAGTTGCCGGAAAACGTAAACAGGCGGAGCCATGAGCCGATATTACATTTTCATCCCACCTTTCCACAAATTGTGTACTCTTCTAGTACAGGAACTTATCTCTGGAACTTCTGCTCTCTGCTTCACTCCACCGTTCATGCGATTCATCAAGACCACGTCAAGATCCATACCTCGGCGTTGAGCAACATCAGAATTGCCGACTCTGGAAATCTTCTGTATGGGCTCGAGCGGGTCGAAGGCAAGGAACGAGTGGCCATACTAAGCCTTGAGCCATACCAGGAAATCTTCGGGAAACCTCGGATTGTGCCGGTAAATTCACAGACATTGAACTCCGCAAAGTCTGTCGTACAATACCTTGGAAAATTCAAGCGAGCTGACTTGCTCCGGGAGGCATCGTCGAACGCACAACCGAGTGGCACGGCGATGCTTGTGCTGGATCCCACTGGTAGACCAGCGATATCTATTCTCCGTCAGTCCAGGGACGATGGCTCGCTCGTCCAGGAGACTTTTGATAGTGAAGGGAACGCGAAGGCACAAACTATCGTGCACCTACCACGCTCAATTCCCAATAATACCGAGGTTACACTTCTAAACCCAGGAGCATCCAGCACACAGCACAGTTCCAAGCGCGTAAAGGTGCTGCTAGGAGTACGACCCAAAAGCTCCTACTCGTTCCAAGAAGCCTGTAATGTATCAACGGCAAAAGAGTGCTTACCAACTATGTTCCAGCGACATAAGAGTTCGATACGGACGATTGAAGGCAAAATCCAGCATCTAGTCAAGGATTACTCATCTTCTCAGCCGACTACGTTGCTGAACGAGGAGCAAAGTCATACAGCAGGGAGCGTTAAAGAGGGTGGAGATGACGACTCTTATTGAGATGCTGGTGCAGGCTCATTGACCTCCGAGATACAACATGAGACCGGATTGGACGTGTCACATCAACCTAGCTGTTCTCACTGGCGTGCAGTCTACCAATTAAAGCGAGCCTCAACCCACCTCTTTGTCTGCGACTACCTGCATGCTGACACACAGACGCGTCGATGATAAAACGACGCGTTTACGTGCCGCCAAGAAGTGAGATCCCACAGACTACTCAACCACTTCGTCACCGTGTTTTCGAGATGTAAGCTAAAAAGTCCGCTCAGCATAGCAGAGCCAGATAGACATGGAACGATAGCAAACGGCAGACTAAGAAATCCTTTGGAGTTAAAGCGTTAGTAAAGTCCCGATAGAAAGAAAGTTGTGAAATGATTCGTGACGGACGTCGATTCGTATTTCATGTAATAGCTTTTCCACTTCCTTCCTAGTCTCTGACCACCTCTCTTATCCCACCAACACGATTCGTCTTCATCGTCGGGTCGTCTTAACCTACAAATTATCAACACAGGTTCATTCGACCTCCGCACTTCAAAGCTTCGAGCTCGTACCAGAGTAGGCAATGCACTCGACTTCAACTGGCACGCCCTTGGGCAGCTGCTTGACCGCGACACAGCTCCGCGCGGGCTTGTGCGCAAAGTACTTCTCGAAGACGCCGTTCATCTCAGCGAAGTGCGCCATGTCGTCGAGGAAGACGTTGACCTGGTATACAGTCAGCGACCACGTCCCCTAATTTTCATCCTCCTACGTTGTGTAGGGTCGGGTGGATGTACCTTGACGACCCTGTCCAGGCCTACACCAGCCTCAGCGAGAATGCCCTTGATGTTCTCACAGCATTGCTGAGTCTTATCCGCGATGCTGCCCTCGATCAACTCGCCCTTGTTGTTCGCTGGGATCTGGCCTGAGACGAAGATCTGGGAGCCTGCGACAACGGCCTGGGACTGTTGTCGAGAGTCAGTATTGTCTAAGCCCACATATGTACCCGGCTTCCAGCTCTTCCTATCATCACTCCGAGGAGTCTACTTCTAGTATGAGCTGGTCGTGGGCACGGTAGAAGCTTCGTCGAGGGTATTTGCTACGGAAGTCATAGGTGGAACGCGATGGTGGGGTATCGTCGACGCGAAACGAGGGGAAAGAGCTGGAGCTCAACTCGAGAGCTACCCGCGGTTACGAAAGAGAACCTACATAAGGCCCAGCAGCTACGAATGAATCAGCAACAAGCTCAACCCCATCATACAACAGACTTACGCGGGCAAGCATTCGCAGTGAAGATCTTCTTGATATCCGCCATATTTCGGTGCTGTGTACTCAATTGAATCTGCCTGAACGTGAGTCGGGAAGTAGTCGAAACAACAGGTCGTAGCAACGTCTTCGAAGGTAGTAGTAACACTCGGGGACTTCGCAACAACATAAGACACAGACACAGACACAGACCCGACAGGTTTATTTGGTTCTCGGTTTGGGTAATCAAAGGCTACTGGCGGCCGACGGACAGCATCATCGGGCGGGCCGTCGCAAAAGCTCCGCGCTTCCCGACGTCGGAACTGGCAACCCCCACCTTCCTTTCCGGATGAGGCATGAGCGTGGCAGGGATGGGGCCTGGCGCGTCTGGCGTGATGGAGGGGTAAAGGTGAGATTTTTTTTCTCGATGCGGGGCGGAATAGAAGGGAAAGTGTCGCGATGAGGGAGCGCAAGTGTTTATTATTTTTTCGCCCGTAATTCTATGTTTTGCTTGCTTTGAATGCTGCTTGCTTGCGATAGCACGGGGTATGCTGAATGGAAAAATGACGTGGGGAACATTTAATAACCCCCACTAAACAAACGTATTATCGCGAAAGTTGGCTGCGAGATACCGCCCTAATGAAACGCCTTCCTATGCAAATTCCTCCTCTATATGTGATGGATCTTAATCTCATTGTGTCAGCTTACTGCTCGAGCTTCTCCTCCTGGCCCGTCAGCAGCGTGTACACGGGCGCATCGAGCTTATCCCTTCCTTTGAGGAAGTCGAGCTCGAGTATGAAAACGTAGCCCGCAACTGTGCCGCCGAGCTTTGTTACCAGCGATCCGGCTGCAGCTGCAGATCCGCCTGTGGAGAGTTAGCTATCGTTCTCGCCCGTCAATTGTCATGCATGTAGACGTACCAGTCGCGATGATGTCGTCCACGACAAGCACCTTCTGCCCTTGCTTGACGGCATCGGCCTGCATCTGGAAGAAATCACTGCCGTACTCCTTCTGGAACTCGGCCGTCTCACAAGGGCCCGGCAGCTTGCCCCTCTTCCTGACGGGCACAAAACTCGCGCCCAGCCTCAGGGCCAGCGACGGGCCAAACAAGAAGCCCCTGGCATCCAGGCCTACGACAACGTCTGGCTTGCCCCACCCGCTCTTCTCGACGGCCAGCTCCAGCGCCCGCAGGAGGCCTTCATGCAGCTCTGGGTTCGCAAAGATGGGCAGGATGTCTTCGAAGAGAATGCCCGGCTCGGGGAAGTCGGGAAACTGGCGCAGCGACGACTGGAGCTTTATCTTAAGACTGGCGAGTTCGGCGGCGGCGGAGGGACGGGTGGCGGCGAATCCTCCCTGGGAGGCATTGCTTTCGAGAGTCGGGTCTGGCTTGTCTCGCGAAGGGTGGGAGGAGGTGGCTTTGGAGGTGTGTGCGGCGGGGGTGTTGGTGGAGGACATTATGGAGAAGGGGAGGAGGGAGGGACAGTTATGTGGGCGGGACAGAGCAGTGCTGTGTGGAGTGGGTGCGTGTGTAGGGCTGGCTGCAAGGCAGGTAAGAATTAGGTGTCGGCTTGACCGCGCAGTGCACCCAGCAACGTTGGCAGAGGGGGAAAAAAAGGTTGCGCGTCTGGAAAATGAGTTTGTAGTGTGGAGCTAGGGTTGCGGGCGAATAGGTGTCGAAGCAGGGGAACCGTGGCGCCCGCACATTCCTGGCTAGCTGCTCTGTAGTGGCCCTTGACCGCAACACTGCTTTTGGTGGCTGCCTATACACCATGACGCTGCTTGTCCTGCTGGATGGGGCAGCTCGATGCAAGCTGCTGCGCTGATGGCGTGCGGGAAGCATATTGCCTATCGCATTTCGACCTACCCCCGGCCCACAAATGGCGACTCTCCAGCTGCTTGCTTATCGCCCGCCCCGCATGCAGCACACACATATTATCTCCTCTGCTCCTGTTGCTCACCACCACGACGCACTGCGCGGCTGGGGCTCTTCACATGTAGACTACCGATAACCCTGGCGCCGCGGTATGACTCCCACCTTACCTTACGACATCCCAACAAAACTATCGCGCCGCAGAAGGGGTTTTGCAAAGCTGCTCGTGTGGACGAACACGCTGCCCAGGGCGATTATTCGTCGTTGCCGCAATCTATTACAAATGATATCAAACCTCAACAGTGTCGCCTTGAGCGTACCTGGACTATAGCACTCTGCCGTGTTCCCCACGCACACATGCTGCCAAAGTCCTGCCAAAGTCCCTGGCGGCATCTAGATGCGCAATATGCATTACACACACGCACATGGAACCAAAGAAACCGGCACGATGCATCTCGTTTCTCCTGTCAAGATCGACACGACGTCCTTGCAGCAACCTGTTGTTGATTCCCACATTAAGCACGCCAGTACGTGGCTTGCAGCCTGCATGGGGCTAGAAGTCTGGGTAGCACTTCTAGCGCTCTGTTTTCAGCTCACCAAGGTTCTCTCTCGTTGCCGGGAGCCGGAGGCCTGAGAGCCAAAGCGTGAGTGAGTGAGTGAGTGAGAGATGAGAGCAGCCATCCATCGAACGAGGCATCACATTGAGGCTCAAGGAAACTAAGCCGCGGCAATGTTGCACGAGTGAACCCGTCTCCGCGTTACGACGCGTACAACATACACCTAGACCCTTTCGTGGAGGATTAATAGACTGATTAAGGCACCAGGACTGGCATTGGTAGAAGTGGGTATAAGTGTTTTCCGATGCCCTAATGCCTAAAAAGGTAAGACGAACTTGTCCTCCGCTGCCATCACGCATCCTCCCCAAGCAGCTAATAACATAAACTACGTGCACCGTATATGACTTTTGACTTCCAATCGCATCCCCCAAGACCGTCCTGCACGCCGGATACGTCAAGATTCAACGCCTAGATCATGCATTTCTAAAACAGAGGGAAGAAAAGCAGGCTGCTCTCGACTGCCTGGTGGGCCCAGCGACCACTAGTCCACCTGGTGGTCCGTACTCCTGACGTCCCGAGGGAATGTCCACAGCCAAACACTAGCAAAATATTGTCTGCCAATACTCAAGCAGAAGCGGTTCCTCATCCCCACACTTCCATGTTTCGCACGATGCAGTCCTCGTCAGCTCTCTTGACCAGCTGGCCGACAACAAATACTTGCTCTCCATGCTCCTGCAGTCTGTCCATGGTCGTCCTGACGTTCTCGTGACTAACCACAAGCACCATCCCCAGCCCCGTATTGAATGTTCGAGCAAATTCAGTAGGCTCAAGCCGACCCGCACTCTTCAGCCACTTGAACACGTCCGGGACTGGCCACGTCTTCGCATCAAGCTCGGCAGCTAGGGTCTTCGGTAGCATGCGAGGAATATTCTCTAGCAAGCCTCCACCCGTAATGTGGGCCATACCCTTGATCAAGCCCCTCCGCACTGCAGCTAGCAGCGGCTTGACGTAGATCTTTGTCGGAGTGAGGAGCGCAGTCCCGATGTTCTCACCTTCGCTCCAGGGACAAGCGTCGTGAAACGAGAGGCCCTTTGTTTCGACAATTTTGCGGACGAGCGAGAAGCCGTTGGAGTGGACGCCGCTGGAGGCCAGACCGAGGAGAACGTCGCCTTCTGCCATGGATGCCATGTCTGGTAGGATGGTCGCGCCTTTCTTTATCGCGCCGATGGCTGCACCACCTGCGTCGTATTCGCCTTCTTTGTAGATACCTGGCATCTCTGCTGTTTCACCACCAACGAGGGCAGCACCGGATTGTCGGCAGCCGTTGGCTACACCTTCGACAAACTTGGCAGCGCCTTCTACGTCGAGCCTGCTGCAGGCGTAGTAGTCGAGGAACATTAAAGGCTCGGCACCTTGCACGACAAGGTCGTTCACGTTCATGGCGACGAGATCGATACCAACGGTGTCGTGCTTGCCCATCTCGAACGCAATCTTGACCTTGGTCCCGATGCCATCGATCGCACCCACCAAGATGGGCGCCTCTGTGTAGCCAGCCGCTTGCAGATCGAGCAGTCCACCGAAGCCACCAATCTCGCCGTCCGCTCCAGGTCTTCTTGTGCTAACCGTCGATGCTTTAATGCGCTTCACGAGTTGGTTGCCGGCATCAATGCTGACGCCGGACGAGGCGTAGGTCAAAGCTTCCCCAGTGCTTGAACTTGTGGTCGATGGTCGTACGACGGTGGTGCCTTCCTCAGCCGGCGCGAGGAGCTTCCAGTCGCACGTGATACCCTCCTTCTTGAACTCCTCTAGAAGGTGATTTGCTATTGAATCGAAATTCTCCGTTGCCAGCGCAAGTATGGTAGGTCCAGCACCTGAAAGGCAGATGCCGAGCAGACCGGGATGTGACTGCGGGGTGACGGACTGAAGGATCTCCGTGAGACCAGGTATCAGCCCACTGCGATACGGCTGGTGGAGTTTGTCCTGCATAGCTGTGTAGATCATATTGGGATCTGGCGTAGGGTTCCCGAGTGCAGTCGTCAAGACGGCCAATCGTTGCATGTTGAAGATGGCATCTTTGCGCGAATATGACTCTGGTAGCACGGCGCGTGCCTTTGCCGTCGAAACCTCGAACTGGGGTATTATGCATATGCACTTGATCGCGGGTGACCAGTTGAACTTGGTGTAGTGCCCAATGTTGAGGGGTGGCTCAGGTGGCCGCAGACCGGTATCTACGCCGCCTGCGGGCTGCGGTAGGACTTCGCTACGGGGAATCTCGAGGCGCTCGGAATCTTCAGGTGAGAGTTCGTTTAGATATGTGCCGACAAATCCTCCGTATAGTGCCGCTGCGACATTGTCCGGGTGACGCTCTTCCATGAGACAGTAGTCTAGCATGCGCGCCTTGCTCAGCTTCAAGTTGCCCACCTCGTTCGCCAAGTATACTCCTCCAACGATAGCCGCTGCCGAAGATCCCAGGCCTCGTCCCAGCGGTATGGGGTTCTTGACATGTAGGTGGGTTTCGGCGGGGAATTCGCGGATGCCTTGACAGCGGAGGACGTATACGGCGGTTCGGGTGATGAGGTTGTTTTCAGCGACCAGAGGGACATCTTCAGCGCCAACGCCTTCGTACGTGATCTTGCAATTGAGTGAATGCTCTGAGGAGGCCTTGCGCGTCACTGTGACCTCCAGCTCCAGGTAAAGGTTGAGCGCAAGGCCGATAACGTCGAAACCGGGGCCGATGTTGGCTGAAGAGCACGGGATCTTGATATAAGTCGACATCTTGTGTGCAGAGCGCCAAAAGCTGGACGCGATGGTCTTTTGTCAGATGCTCAAAAAAAGTCGACCAGATCAGAAAATCCAACGTGAGATGCGTGGGGCTCAAACGCCGACGCCGATATCGCGGGGTAGACACAACCACACCCAACGCTTCTCACTTCACAGTCGCTCAGCCCTGCGACTGGTAGTAAATGAGTCCCAACAGACTCACCGCGTGATTCAGTATCTTAGCAACATATACCACATCTTTAATCGCCTCCAAAAGTTTTCCATGCGGGCTAGGCAAAAACAAGGCTCGCCCACACTGGATGGTTAGAGGTCCACATGCTGACCTACAGGCACGAACGTTACCAAGAACATCGGGCGGTACCCCCTAGTGCTACCCGTTAAGATATTGCTCGTTCTGTGGAGGTACTTTGAGTGCGGAGAACTTTGTGGTTACATTGAATCCTCTGGGTCGAGCTGGGCGTCAACTATGGTATCCAACCTTATAGTCGTTCTCCCAATTGGTACCAACTATGAATCAGACGGTACGATAAAACCCTAACACAATGAAAATTAAGTCACCGGAGAGGAATGGCCCACGTGAAAGACGAGCAAACGCATTACGCCTTTTCGCCCTTTTAATGTCTATGAAAGGCCCCGACGCCCTGTATTCGTTGCTGTGCCACCCGGACAAGCCCGCCAGCTCACCCCGCAAGGTACAACCGGTTTTTCAAACTTGTGCTAGACGCCTAGAGGGTACCTGTATGAGAGGGCGCATTACCAGGCTACCAGGTCATCGTTAGGCAGTAGCTCCACCACGTGGATCGAATAGCCAGGCAACAGAACATTCGTCCGTACATTAAGCCTTGCGGAGTACTTGGGACCATCCCTGATCTCGCTGTCTCTCACTCATCTTCTCGCCTGCTGTAGATCGCTATTCAGCAAACGGGGCGGTTTAGATTCTGTCTCACTACCTTATCTCGACCAAGGCGCTACCAAAGCGTCGATTCGTCTTAAGCTGCGTATCATTTGATCCCAAAACCACCCGCCTATTCCACAACAACGGCGACCAAGCGACCGAAGAGGAGTCGTGCAAAAGTGAGCTTGAAGAACCTCGAAGAACCTCGCAAGATCCAAACTCAAACTACCAAAGGTTCTGAAGTTCTCCGCCTGGATTAGAAACTGTAGTCGCATTTCCAAGATTGTCCCAGCCTCCGTACAACGTCAAACAACACCATGTGCGACTCACCGACAAAGAACTACACATATTTTCATGAAATGATCCAACAAAGAGAGCTTGATGAGCCCCGGAGGCGTCTCTCAACTCGTCGATCGCCTTCTACCTCATCGTCGTCCTCGTCCAACGAAGACGAACCCGCTGAAAAGCCCAGGACGAATGACGTCGAGCAAATTGCTGTTAACGGTAAAGGCAAGGCCGAAGTAAGCGGAACAAAAGAGGAGGCGGAGAACGACGGCGTGCACTGCGATCCAGGTATGAAGAGTGGGCTGCAGCACCTCTACTCTGGAAAAGAAGACAAAAAAGGTAGATTTCAGTGGCAAGATAAGATTCCCGAAGACATTGGGGATCCAGTGGAGAATGACGAGACAGCAAAATGGGCATTGCTGGTGCGAAATGTCAAAGTCTACAACGACCCCACGCGAGTCTTGTCCGTACACTCGATCGTTGTCCAGAGCCCTCTACTCAAGACACTGCTCGCGGGAGTCCTGAAAAACTACCCTGGAGTCACCGTCGGCTTGAATCGACTCGAGTTCTCGGGCAAGTTTGAACCGCTCATCCATCGATGGACTGAATTACAAGAAGCTATTGGCAAACTAGGCGATGAGACCGAGGATCAACAGACGACGAAAGCGCATGCCGAACTACTCCAGGAGGTTCTCGTCAAGGAATTCAAGAGCATGATCGATACGTCTCAGGACATGAAGAGCAAGCGGGTGATGACATACGAGCATCTATGGACACTGTTTCAACCCGGTGCGACAGTTTTCTCGCGACAAGACGGGCAAGAGACAGCTATGGTCCTAGTGGAGACACGTTACGGGCAAGATGCAAAGGGCACTCCGTGCTTCTGGCTTACCTGTAGATATGTTGACTGGGACGGCTCGAAATTTGGTACGCAAAAGATCAACCTCTCCGTCTCCATATACACCGGCACGCGCTCCATCAGCTCGCTTCGAGTTTACCCGCTGGAGTATCATCCCGAGGGACAGGCTATCCGTACGCGTCTTATCGAGCGTGGCACCAAGGCTGAAGCACTGGCTGGACCGAATTACCGTGCTTATCAGGGCGTCGCGTGGCGACAAGGCGCATTCGGTGCGAAGGATAAGTACAACGTCAAAGGCCGGATTGTCATCGATACGTACGGGTGGAACCGCTTCAACCCAACCCACTTAATCTTCGTAGCTCCACTTAATCAAAAGGAGCCTACGAACTCATGGTCTCGCTTAGACGGCGATCCCATTGAAAACCTGTTCGGCGACGGCGGAGACGACGAGGAAAACCGCACTGAGGTGGATGATTACGATGAGGATGATAGCGGCATGCCAATGGACGGTCACTTTGCCGACGAGGAAGATGCAGCGAAGCACGTCCCACTCACCACCGAGCAAAAGCTCATCTGCACTCCACTCCTTCGCGGCTATAGTCTGAAGAACAAGCTTTGGCTTAACTTCTTCGTCAACTGCGTCAAGGATATCGAGTGGCAGAAGGATGCATTCGACCGACTGGTCCTACCAAAGAACCAGAAAGAACTGATCCTAGGCTTCACAGAATCTCAACGCAAGTTCCGGGATACCTTCGACGACGTGATCGAAGGCAAGGGCAAGGGCATGATTATTCTTCTATGCGGCCCGCCTGGCGTTGGCAAGACGCTCACGAGCGAGTCAGTAGCCGAAGAGATGAAAGTGCCACTGTACATGATGAGCGCTGGAGATCTTGGCTTCGACCCTAGAAAGGTTGAGACCAAGTTGCAGGACATCCTCGAGATGTGCAGTCGCTGGAACGCAGTACTCCTTCTCGACGAGGCAGACGTATTCCTCGAGCAGCGATCCCTCCACGAGCTCGAGCGCAACAAGCTCGTGTCCATCTTCCTACGCGTTCTCGAGTACTACGAAGGCACCATGTTTCTCACCACGAACCGCGTCCAGACCTTCGATCCCGCCTTCCAATCGCGCATCCACATCTCGCTCGACTATCAAGAGCTCTCCGTCGACTCGCGCAAAATGATCTGGACTAACTTCCTTGACTCCACCTCCGCACAGGATCACTCCATTACGGCCCCGCAACTGCATGAGTTGGCTAGGATGAACATGAACGGTCGGCAAATCAAGAATATCCTTAAGATTGCGAGGTTGCTGGCGAGTAGGAAGGAGGAGAAGCTTAGTCATGAGCATATCGTTACCACGATGGAGGTCACGCAGCATCTGCACAATGAGACGCAGTTTACTGACCGCATGAGAGGGAGCTTATATGGGTGAGCAGTGTGTCTGAGGCGACGGTGGAGTCTAAGTCAGAAAGACTGCTAGATTCAGTCGTGGATTAGGCAACGATAACCTAGCCGAGTGGTACCCGGCAAGGGTCTGGTATGGTTACAGCAAAGTGGCGCAAGAGATGGCGATTACATCATGTATTATACAAAGATAGCAGGACCAGGACAAGGAACGATTCGCCTTCCGAAAGGGTGATGTCTTTCCTCGCGCCCTAAGGTAGTTCACCGGATGGTAGCAACGGCGTCAAGCTCATCCATAGACTAGTTAGATCAAAATAGAAAATCGTGTAGTTTGAACCTTGTTCCTCCTCCTTTTCAGATAGACTGGCCCATCACAATACCAAAAGAATGGGGTATTTTACGGTAGTTAAACGACAGTAGTCGCAGAGTACGCAATAGTCTTACCACTCATCTATTTACACTACGCTCCAGAGCAGGGTCCACTGAAATTCTCTCAGCTATGCCAGTTCGTTTGGTAACATAGTGAGCTAGAACAATGATAGTTACGACTGAAGTTGACTAATCGTACCTGACAAAGTATCCGCAAGCCATTCTCAGTTGTAGAGTGGAGGGCTTGCTTGAAGGCTCGGGAAAGAAATGTTTAAATCATCTATGCCGAGCTCCTGCCAATCTGTGGAAGCCTGAAGTCTTGGCGCATGACGCAAACTGCTGTGCCGTATATACCTGGCATATAAATGAATGGCCTCGCCAGCAACACCGTTGTCTCCACCCCCTTCGCTATCATCACCACATCCATAGCCACTACTCTAAAAACTACTGCCATGAACCTCCCCCCGGATCTCCAGGACATACTCGATGCCAATAATACCGATGCGCTTGAGGCCCTGCTATCCGGAGGCTCGAGTATCAGCCAAAAAGAGCTCGATGAGTGTCTCACCTCAGTGATGCCGGAAGGGAGCTTAGGCATGATCAAGATATTGGTTCGACATGGGTCTAAGCTCACGATATTCTCTTTCTTCAAAGCTATCAGAAGAGAAGAGCCGGCTGTGTTTCAACTGCTTATCGATCATGGCTGGAACATTGATTCCACCGAATTTGAAGTCACTGCTGTACAGTGAGTGTGATCTATAGAGTCATGGTGAATTCTACTGAAACATGGACAGCGCCGCACTTCGCCATGACAAGTTACTTCGTTGGCTTCTCGAACATGGTGCAAACCCCAACATCATGTCAACACGGAGCCGTGGTTCATGTGCAGAACGCCGCACACCACTAGTAGCAGCGGCACGTATGTCTGATGCGACGCCGCTCGAGATTCTTCTTTCGTATGGTACCAAACTGGACCCCATGGTTATTTTCAGTGCCATTTGGGTGAGGCGATACGAAAACGGCGTCGCGACTATGGCTGCCCTTCTTGCTCATGGGGTAGACGTCAACTATATGTCAGAGAGATTGGGTACGCCGCTGTTGTACGCTGTTCATAGGCTCAGGAAAGAAAAGGTCAGCTTCCTTATGGCAAACGGCGCAGATCCAACTATTCCCTGCCCGGCATCCGGGCTTACAGCAATAGAATTCGCAAAGAAACGGGGACTCGTGGAGATATTGGACATTTTAGAGGGTGTACGAGTTGATGATGTTCCTTGAGACAAATTGCTTCTCCCACGTGTTTTCGGGACTAGAAACTTGATTTCTCTTATGACTCAGTGTGGGCATGGTAGTTTATAGTCTCTCGTCATCTTTTAAAACCAAATACATGGTAATCTTTGTGTTCAAGACAATTTTCCCTATCGGTTCATGGCATACATAGTTTCTATGCGTCCTATTTGCTGTTGAATATAAGCGGTGAGTCCAACACTTTAGTATAATCTTCACAAACTTCCAGTAAACTTACATTTGTTCCTTGACGCGTATCTTGCTTAACGATATAACCCCCAAACTGTTAGATCTCGACCTGCATTTTCACTTATGCTAAAGTTTAATATAGAGTTTGAATTATACAAGCTAGGTTAGCATGTCGTTTGTTTATATTGCTGCATTTGCAGGGCTTGTAGAGAAGGTGGCGTACCGACGACAGTCTAAGTGGACTCGGATTATGGAAACTTTCAAATTTCGCGCCAGTTACGTTGGTTCTTACCTGTGAGATATTTCATGGATTTCAACTCGAGACAAAGTACTAATTCACTTCTATTTGTAGGCCTTGTTGCAGCGATTGTGTGTGTCTCCTTACATATCTGTTGTCGGTTCGCTAAGTTGAGCGAGGGTTAAGAAAGTGACTTAGCCAAGAACAAGCCGGATTTTATCATTCTAGAGGGCGCATTACATTAACAGAATTTAATTGCCCGACAGTATTCCATTCTGGTCTAGGTTTCGAGCGCCGATGGGCAGATGCGAATTTCCACTGAAAACGAAATCTGGGCCAGAAGAGATAAAAGTAGCGTAAGACCCAAGCACACCGGAACATATACTTCTTGGGTCTATGTAGATTTAGATAAGAGCTAAGAAGGTCGGACACCAGTAACAGGTTTTGCGGCCATAGTTGCGAGGAGCGAATTGTCGTGTTGCAAATCAGTGAAGACAGGCCTTCCTGCAAGTCATTGTCTGTAATTTCGGATCAATCTCCGTATGTCTTCCGACGACACAAGAATCCTAGTGTCTCAAAGACCAATCAAGTGCATGATGCCCTCGACAACTGTCAAGGAACACCCATCTACAGAGAGGTATATGTATACCGTTATGAGCGAGAGAGGGAGCTAGGAAGGTTGTCCAGAGGTGGCTGAGTGGTCATAATGAGCACGGCCTTGCCTAAGTGCGGGGTTAAATTTCCGCTTCCTCGACTTTCACACGGACCGAGCCCCAATTTCCCCCGTCATTTCCACTAGCTACCTCAACGCTTTCTCAGAGTCAGGCCACTCCAACTGGATTGTAGATGGCCCATGTTAGGCGACCTGTTTCGTGAAACGAGGCTTACCTCTGAGCCGTTGTGCGCTATGACTACACCTATGGCAGGTCCACAACGTTTGGGAACTGTAATGCGATATATATGTGGCTTGGAATCACTAAGATATCCAAAAGATACGAGAGCACTGACAGTCCTGAGGAGATCAGAATGCACGCCACATGGTTCCCTGACCGCCTATTTTGAGGACCAAGGGAGCAGCTAAAGTGACAAGAGATTGAACTGCGCTAGAGCTAACTACACTGTAAGTTCCTTTTCTGAATACAGCTGCTTTAGCACACTATATTACTCTTAGTGAGCCTAGCCGAGTGAATAGGAGAAGCAAAGATATGAACACTTGAACTAATGGTCGCAGTTTTCAACACCTCAGATTTCGAAAAAGAGCTCTTCAGTCTAGGTAGGAACATGCATGGTCGAGGAAAGACACAGAAGAGGTAGCTAAGACACTGTCATAGTGCACGGTTGACACATGTATGTTTTTAGTCCAAGACTCATGGTCTGATTCATAGGAACCCCATGAGCTGCGGTGTATGACAGAGATGACTGCAGTTCTTGAGTTTAGCACCCCAATGAGTCTTCATTCAGTGACTCTTCGTCAGCTATAAAATGCAATGTGTTGTGGTAGACCTTTTCTATACACTACTACCTACACCAAAAACGATTCAGGAACGCATATACCAGCTTTCATACACAACCATTCATCATACAAAAGAACGTCTAGAGCAAAAACGAGACAAGCACCGGACAACAGGACGACATGACACGCAACAAACAGTTACAAGAATTAGCCGACCAAGTCTGGGAGTTAGAAGCAGCCCTCCAGGTCACCCTTAAGGGTGGTGCCGGTGATGCAAAGTGGAAATGGCCTGCAGAAGCTCAAGTCCTTGTGAAGCAGATGCGGAAACTGGGGGAAGATAATAGCAATTTTGTACGAGAAAAGCTCGACCCGCTACTCACATGGCCGGATAAGGATTCGTCAAATCCGAAGGGTTTCTACGAAGATAAACCACCCTTCGACCGCACAGTTGAGTGGTTTGGAAAGGTCATGGGCTTTGATAAATATCAGACTCCATACACTTTCACCGACTCTTGGGACAAAGTGGAAATAATGGCTACATTTCTTGTCCCCAAAGACCTACAACCCGGCGATAACTGTCCAATTATGTGGTACTTTCATGGGGGAGGGTTTGTGAGTACTATTCAATGAGAACAAATACCCAAATTGAGCTGACACAAGAAAGTGTACTGGTGCTGGCGACCATGTTCCGTGGTACTCAAAGGCTAGCCTCGAACATGCCAAAAGACACAAGGCAATCGTCATTGCTCCAGATTATCCCCTTGGACCGGAAGCGCATTACAAGACCATCGCCGACTCAGTTCGTGACTTCTTAAGATTCTATAAAGAAGACGGGTGTTTCGAAGCAGGAGAGGATCACTGGACGCAGTGGCTAGCCAAAGCGATCGACAAGGAAGATGTCACGATTAACAGAGAGAAAGTCTTCATCGAGGGCGAGAGCGCTGGTGCGCACGCAGCCGTGACTGCTATGTTTCTCAATGCCGACAAAGGGGATGGGGCTAAGCTAAATATCAACGCCGCACTACTGCGATACCCCATGATTGCGCATTATGAAAGGTCTTTCCCAAGCAGGTCAAAGACTCTTAGCTATATGGGCCATAATGTTTTCGAAGCAGATGCGATTCATCAAGCGTCAGCGATAGTAGCCGAAATCGAAGTCCTCCAAAAACTGGGGCTTGTTCCAACTCGTGCTAGAGGTTACGCTCCAGAATATATGGCACCCGCCTTCCTATTATCGACCACTGGCTTCTGGAAGTATTTGTTCCAGCGCCGGCACCAATGTTCGTCAGGGCTTCCTTCCGATGAGCGTGACTATATGGACTGCCTGGAACGTGCGGAAAAGTGTTCCACGACAGTAGAGAGCAGGCATCTTCCGCCTATCGTCATGTATCACGGTCACGATGATCTCAATTGTCCATACCATAATACGGAGAAGTTCAAACAACTTCTCATGAAGTACTACCCTGAACAATATGTGGAAAATGAAACAGTTTTTCTTGAACCAGTGACCTTTCTCAATGAAAAGGCTGGACTCGAGGGGAATTACTCCCCGGAAGTAGGACATGGGTTTGACTATGCACTACGCGGAGATCGTGAGCCTTTCCTGAAACGAGCTTATGAGAGGGTTGATAGGTTTTGGCCTGAATGCAAATAGCGTGTCGGTACACTGCTTTGTTTCTTGGTGGGAGGATGCAGATCTTTGAATGATTTGAGTGCGTACTCATACTTCCACTTTTGACTATAAACTTCAATCGTCTTTTGTGATGCTCCCCTATCGAAGAACTCCACATTTCCAACGAGTGGGACCTCTTGCTCCATTCTGCATTGAAGCTGACTTAGACATGAAGCGTTAAGTTATCAGATTGCAGCAACTGGATATAATCAGCCTTGGAGATCTGTTGAAGATGACACAATGGAGCATCACTTTAACGATTCTAGATCTCCTATTGCTGCATAAAAACGATATCACGGCTACGAGGGAACAAGAATGCTCTAATAATGCTGTTGTGTTGAAAGCATCACCATAGAGCCCGCAGACGTTAACTTTGGGGCCATGATACTTTGATCTAAAAATGCCATCACGTTCGTCTTAGTAATCAAAAGCGAGTCTTCTCTTTAGTTATTTAGTAGACTAACTATTACATTAGCTTTCTATTCTATCTACTGGCAGAAACCGCCATCTCCTTGTCAGCTACTAAGATCTTCTGTATGGCTGGCCGATTCACGCAGCGGTCCCACCAAGCACTCACAGCTCCACGGCTGACGATGATATCTCCGTACCCGCATGCGAAAAGTCTTTGGATCAGCGGAATGTAGTAGATATCCACGAGGGTGAAGCTGCTTCCCGCCATGTAGTCTTTGTGTTGTAAGAGACATTCTGCGACATCGAAAAACGACTCGACCGACCGCATTGCATCTGTAACAAGAGTCTCGTCGGGAGGCAGTCCCATGAATCTTTTCGCAAATTTCTCGAATGCGATTCTACCGGCAGGCTCTGCAAAGTAGAGCATCTCTGCGCACTGCGCTTGGTCGAACAGCGATGCAGCTTCGACATCAGAGTCAGGTGGTAGAAGTGGAAAGGCGTACTTCGTTGCAAGGTATTTGCAGATTGCGCGACTCTCGTAGAGAGTGAACCCTTCTGCGGAAGTCATTACGGGTATTTTACCCCATGGGTGACGTTCTTTGTGTTCTTTGGACTGGTGCAACGGCATTAGCTCCCATGAGTTCGAATGTTGCAGGTGGAAAAAAGTCTTCGAGGGTGTAAAACATTTTGAGGCTCGATACGATATACAATCTGCGCACGCAAGAAGGCGCATCGTATTTTAAGAGAGACAAGCCACTCACCTTTTGCTCCCCTTTTTGAAGGTTGAGAAGCACGAGTTTGTAATCCGTAAAGCCACCTTCGGCGAGAGTGAGGCGAACACGATCGGTGTTGGTCGAACCGTGAGAACCATACAGAGTAAAAGCTTGCATTTTCGAGCTGCTCAGTAGTTTCGACACGGCTCCATGGTTGTAAGTAAGCTTCGACATTGTGTGATACTTTTTTCGAGAGAGATTGGATCATCCCCCTCGGTTTATAAGCTGAAGACATCTCGCTGAGAGCAGGGGTTAGCGGTACTGCAGAAAAAGATTTCAAACGCGCCTACGCCCTGGAGGTACCTTGAGCGGAGCTAGCAATATCTACAGTTCAATACTTATCGAGGCATTTGGAACTCGGCGCATGCAGGATGAGGGATGAGGGTCTTCCAAACAGCGGTATGGTTGGTTGGGTCGCTTTTGCTACCTAATCGAGCTAGCGCCGACGGCTGCTCCTCGGGCTACCTCTTTGTCAGCATGCGACACAAATCAAGTCCAAGCAACCTACCCTCCTCATGGTCCCGGTGAGGAATCATACTGCATCATTTGATTCGTCTGCTCGGATCTCTTGCTTGTTACAATTGTTCCTCTCGTATGAAAGGTGATGCGCGACAAGCTTCCCCCCGCCGAACGATGGCCGGATGCGCCGTCCTCCGTAAACAACATGAGACGTAAAACCAAGGTGAAAACTGGTTGTGCAACCTGCAGGTCAGTCATAGCGGACAGATGCCATCACCGGTCTACATCCCAATATTTTGAATTTAAACGAGGAGTGAGTGTACTCATTCAGCAATAGAACCAGAAAGGTCAAATGCGACGAGAAAAAGCCGTTTTGCCAAAGATGTGTCAACACCGGTCGTACTTGCGACGGCTACGAGTCCCCATTTAGATTTTTCACCAGTCAACCCATCAAAAACGCCCATGCTGGCGGCATCAAGTCAGACATTGGTTTACAACGCATCTGGTCCACCTTCATTGAAATCGCCCCTCGGGACATCAATCTTCTCAATCGTTACTTCTCAACCAAAACCCTATTCGATGTGAATCTGGGCTGTGACGAAGAAGCCAGGCAAGTCCTACAAGCCAGCCAGACTGACCCGCCTATACAACACGCAGTCCTGTCTCTAAGAGCTCTCCGAGAAGATCTCGAGACATCCGGAGACGATCCAGCGTCTATCGCGCAGCAGACTCCAAGCTATCACTACGGCCTTCAGCAATACTCTATGGCTTTGTGAGGTCTTGCGTTTACCTTGTCATCCTTGGGCTCCAACGCGTTGAAGCCGGCATTACTTTGCTGTCAGATATTGATCAGCATTGAGCAAGTGCGAAAGAATTATGCTGCTATGGTCCAGCATATCATTAAAGGACTCAGGATAATGCACGAGTATCGAGCAAGGCCGGGCTTTACTTCCGCAAACAAGTTGGTGCCAGCGCACTGTGAACAATTACCCTTCCTGGATGTTTTCGTCATTAAACTATTTGCTGCACCATGTAAATTTGCGGATCCTCCAGCAGCCGATAGAAGCGAGACAACATCGTCGTCTGCGTGTTTGTTTTCGACTCATCAACAGCTTGTTGAATCTTGCAATCTTCGCACGATTGCACCCGACATGCGAACAGAGCTTACACGGATTGCTACGTCGACACTTGAGTTCCTTGACAAAGTGTCGCAAGTCAAATCGATAGGCGTCGCTCTTCGGCTACTATCCGAGAGAGCAGCTCTGCTAGACTCCTTACATTCTTGGCTCATTGATCTTGAACTTGTTCAGACGGAGATCGGGCATCCTGGCCCAGAGCCTGTGTCAGTGTCCTTTTTGCGCTTCTTCCATCACATACTGAAAATCATTCTCTTGGACGCGCTAGACTCTTCGTCAAATGTTCATGCTGAGCTGCGGCCTGAGAACGACCAGTTGCAGTGCGTAGCCAACGAAATATGTGAAAGAGTCAGGTCTTATAGAACCTGCACTGGGACTATTAATGGCCGAGGGGAGCACTCCACAGTGTGCTAAGATTTATTGGCAAAGTGGCGTAACCTGTTCTAGCCACGCACATGAGTCTTGACTTTTTCAGAATTGGGAATCTGCGAACTCCATTTCTAGCAAGCTAAGCGAGACAAGGGCAGTGGCAGTATCGAATGCGGCCTAATGCAGTGCAGGTTAGAAAGAGAAGAAAAACGAGTCGGCTAGTGTGCGTTGGTAGGATCGTATGCAACTTCCGATTCCAGTATACTGACCGAATCAGCCAATCAGTGGCTGACTCTAGCTCTGAACCAACCCCCCTTGTCGACTATATAGTTGTCTACCCTGGAGGGATGGTCAACTTTATAAATAGGCCCACAACCCCCTTACCTGCTGTAACGAAGCCTCTTAGTCTCCCCAAGCAGACGAGTACTCACCAACACTTCTCGTCGAAAGCCATGCATTTCCTCCTCCTCGGCGCTAGCGGACGGACCGGCCAGCACGTCGTGACCGAATTACTCTCCAAGGGTCACACAGCGGCAGCACTCGTGCGTACCACTGGTAGCCTCATCCCTCGCCCTGGTCTCACCATCGTCATTGGCTCGCCGCTATCGAAATCCGACATAAGCAGCGCTCTCCTCGCAGCGCTTCCACTATCACCTTCTGCAACGATCATCACGCTGAACACAGTCCGCAAGTCCGACAGCCCTTTCGCGGCTCGGGTCTCACCTCCCCGCTTCCTGGCCGACTCGTGCGCCAATATTTGCGAGGTTCTGGAGCATGCCGGCTTCAATCGCGTTGTAGTGATGTCGACGGCAGGTGTCGGGGATTCATGGAGTAACCTACCGTGGTTGAGCAAAGTATTCTTGAGCTGTACCAACGTCAAGTACGCGCTCGAGGATCACGGCCTGGTAGACAAGGACATTCGGCTAACGAAGCTGGATTGGACTCTTGGGAGGGCTGTGAGGCTGCGATTCGACGATCAGAAGCCCACCGATACGAAAACGGACGTGAGAACGCTGGGCAGTAAGGGTGATGGAATGAGCATGACTGACAGCGTGAGTGTTGCTAGTGTGGCCAGATTCCTAGTCCAGGTTGCAGTCGAAGGACTCTTCGTCCAAAGCGCAGTGGTTGTCGCCGGTTAAGGCGGCTAAGGAGTTCGTGGACTTTGTCGATATTGATCAATCATTGAGGACTTCCTGAACAACTTTATTTAGACTATACTGTGTATCGGTGAGTGATTGAATCGGTTCTAGATTAACTTTCATGACTCTAGAGTGTGATCTTCGTAGCGGAATTTTAACATGAGACGGGGATATAAGTACGGACCTACAATATTACGGTTACCAATGAATCACCTGCTTTCATCTTGCACACTACGAAGCCAGACTTGCGTACATGTTCCCGATTAGCGAAGTACTCGAAGACATTTAGACTATTATGCATGGCCATATTGCTGTGCCACCCCTCGCAAACATCTGATCACGCAATGTAGAATGAACAGAAAGATAGTGATCAGATGCGTTCACTGATTTTTTCACCTCAATCAGTGGGAATCAATCAGGAACAGTCCTGAAGCGTAGGCGCTTTTGTGGCATTTATTTTTGTTGATCATTAACAAACCTTCTTCTACGCCCCTCCAACTTCAGCGACGCTCTAATTGTGACATACAAACCCACCGAGTTCAATTTGACTACAATAATAGCAACGCCACAACAGTAAGCGAGCGGAAAGAATACAGGTCATGTAAGACCAAAAGCAGCTAGTCAAAGCTGGAGCTATGCGGGGCGCTCTCATTCCCTTCTGCCATCTCCTCTTTAATCCTCTGCTCCTCCTCTTCTCTTCGTTGCTCAAGCACAGGAACCACAACCTTCATTGCCACCATATTGTTCATTCTCTTACGAATCGAGTCGTTGAATATCAAGAACAGACGTTTTGTGTTGGCCGCAAACTCGTCCGCTGTGCTTTCTCCCGTCCACAGACTCTCCATGTGAAACAGGTATTCGGTCCAATTCTCCAGACCAAGCGCTTGTCGTACACCTTCTAATTCCTTGGGAATAGGGTACTCGTATCGTGGCTGAGGATTGCGGGTCTGCTTTGCTGAAGGATCAACCAGGGCGGCTAGAGCTAGTTCCATGCTAGCAGCATGCGCCCCGATTGAAGCAAGAGGAGAATCGGTTTCATCGTCTTCGTCCAACACCACTCTCCGGTTCCTTGGCCTCCTACTCAATACCGGTGTCGTACTGTTGCTGAGTGGTGTATCCTGGCGCTTGATCTGTGTCGTCTTTGTAGGCTTCGGTGTTTTATATCTGGAGGTTGATGTATCTGGTTTTGGGAAGGGAGGATCTTGCTTCAACGCGTCTGCCTGCTCGCCGGGTCGTTTCCGGGCAGCTTTTGGATCTACTGCGTGGGGCTGAGGCTGGCTATTCTTTGGACGGTTGTTTAGGGAGGAACGTTTCGCTTGACCTGGTGTTTTCCGTGCAGCATTATTGGATGGAAGGCGACTGTGCTCGTTTTCTGGGTGCGCCAGAGACGTATGTGTGAGAGTACCTCCCCTGGTTTGGGTTACGCCGAATAAGTCGCTATCTTTCGCTGTCTTTGCATCTGATCGCGCTTTATGGACTAGATCGTTGTCATTGATGGTGTTGTTAGCGATATCGAGTCTTCCACTTCGTCGTGGCGGCATGGTCGGATAATGGTTTGAGTACGGATACACGGGCCCTAGGTATGGCGTGAAGCCCGGATAATTTCCAGGATACAACGAAGAATAGGTTGGCAGGTCTGGTAAGAAGAGGTGGCTGCTAGCTGCACCTGCTCTAGTCGCCTCTGCCGGATTGACAGGCAGCATGTTTGGAGCAGGTCCGATAAATGGATGCTGCGGCAACCGCATTGCTGCATTTGGCGGTTGACGTTGCCGCTGGGAATCATGCTCTTGCGACATGATGTGCAGGCGTTGATCTGCGAGTTGAAGGCGAGGTTGCGCGACGGAAGAGGAAGAGGGAGTAGAGGGAGAATTAGAGCTGTCAAGCTTGCTCATAGTTCTCTGCAAATTGTGAGAGCGGCGTTTGCAATGATTACTAGCACTCGGAATCAGCCGGTAGTGACCCGGGAGTTGAGTCTAATACGTGAAAATGGTGGAAGAGTGAGTGATGCCTGCCTCGTTAGTGGCCAGTTCAGCGTACACTCTCGTGATTGACCCTAGCAAGCTACGTCATGCAACTTCTATAAATTCCAATAGCCTTTCACTCGTTTGAAAGGATACGTGGAGATCCCGATATCTTCTCTACTCTTCATGTCCTGACTGACAGTAAATTAGAATGCTAGGATGCTTTTTAACACATCAGCACCTGAAAATGACTTCACTTTAAAGCTAGTTGCCATAGGCAGCACGAGATTAAGAGATGGTGTATGAAACATACATTCTTCGGTGGCTACAGTAGAAAGGCCTGGTGCTTATACAAAGCGAGTTTGAAAAAGACACTGAACTCAGCTTACCTTCAGCACAAACGTCGAAACTCCCCTAATGCTATGAAAAGGTGCGGCAGCACCTACGCCGTCCCTGTTGTTACAACAGGTCCTTATCTTCTGCAACATAGGTAGATTCCCGGTCGCACATGAAGCATCTAGACAAACAAATGGTGTCTACAATCTTGTGGTACGCAGCCCCAGTTGGCACCAGATGTCTAATACAGCAGTTCTGGCGACTTCGCTTGAGGAGCACCCTTGCCTACTTCGTCGCTCGTCCGGCCAGCTTATCATCGTGGGGCCGCGTGTTATCCGTTTTATTGGGACGAGGGCCTGGAGCACTCCTAGCCCCCGAACCAAACGGGTCGCGCAACATCTCAGCAGGGTCAGTTTGATCCGGGGTGAGGTCCATCGGTGCGCTTTGTGATGTACCGGGCACAGTCTGGTCGCCGTGTGGTTGACTATGTCTAGAGGTAGAGGGCGCGTATAACGTTGGATCATAAGGATGATATCGACCCGGTTGGGGAGGACGAGGAGGTGCCATACCACCTAACGGTCGACGAGAAGGCGGTGAGTTACCCGCAACACGCAAATGTTCGCGAAGATTTCTCGTACGTCCAAAGGTAGTGCCATGGGCTCGGGGAGGATCTGAAGTACGGTTCTGACCCAGAGCAGCATTTCGAGTGATGGGCGCCGCAGAAGCTACACTATAACCGCTTGGAGCCTGTGCAGTAGCAGGAGGCATGTTTTGTTGGTTTGGATTCCCAACACGTGATTTATCATGTGCCCGACACGCTAGTCCGCATACAGACTAGCTTACTCTAGTTTTATTCTTTTTTATATATAAATATAGCTTTCTTTTATACATAAAATATTATTAATATAATTATTTTTTTTTAATTTTATAAATTATAATGTACTTCTATAACAAATAGTTAGTTAGGACAAGTAGTTAGTCTTTACTAAGCTTTTACTAAAACCTACTATTACTTATAGTATATTGCAACTATAGTATATTGTACTATAACTAATAATATATAGTATTAATTTATAATATTTTTTATATTATTTTTATATATGCGCATATTGTGCTTTATTTTATTATAGTATTTATAGTACTTTTAAAAAAACTTACCTGCTTTAGTACGCGCTTTTTTTTTTATTTTTTTTTTATTATTACGCGCTTTAAACTTCTTTAAAATTATTAATTAAAAATTATTTTTTACTATAAAGATTTTTTTTTTTTATATTTGCTTTTTTTTGTGCAATTTATATTATATAGTAGTTTTATTAGCAGCTTAAAGCTTAAAATTTTGTTTTTATATTAATACTATTAAATATGCTATTATTTTTGCACTTTTAGTAAATTTTGCAAAAGTATTTACTATTAAAGTAAAAAAGCTATTTAAGTACTTCTAAATTTTTTTTTTTAAAAATATTAATTATAACTTAAATTTTAAAGTATTATTAGGTATTTTTAACTCCTAAGCACTATTTTTAATAGTAAGTAATAGTAAAGTATATAACTAAATATTAAGTTTTAATATTATAGCTTTTAAGTTAAATAGTACTAAGCTAGCACTTTAAAAACTTTTTAAAATATTACTTTTTATAATAGTAATATTAAAAGTAGTTTTAAAATATAGTAAAAATTTAATTTTAGTAATATAATTAATATAGTTGCGCATTAAAATTTTAGCTTAGCGCTTATATACTTTTTTTAAAAAAGCAAAATAGCTTATATTAAGTAGCTATAATAAGTGCAATAAATGCAAAAGTATATAAAAAGTAATAATACTATTTTTTTTATAATACTAGTAAAATTTAACTAAATTATAGCTTTTATAATTATTTATAATTAAAAAATAATGCGCGCTAATAGTACGCTTTTTTATATATTTATTAAAGTACTTTATTTACTTAAAGCTATACTTATTAGTTGTTTAGCTATTTATAAAAATAGTAATAGCTTAATTTTAAAATAGGCTATTTTTTTTATACTAGGCAGAGAAGTAGTGCTTGCCTATAAAAATAATAAAAAGTAAAATTATTTAATTAGCTGCGCTAATACTTTAAATTATTATTATTTACTTTTAATTACTTTACTATATTATTATTGCTTATTTTTAATAGTTAAAGCTTGTAATAATAGCTTTAGTTAATATTATACTTATTATAAAGCTTGTTTTATTAAAGTTATAAGTATTTTTATTTATAATATTATACTTTACTTTTATATTCTGCACTAGCTAAAACTAGTTTTATATAGCGTTAAGATTTTTATAAAAAGTTTTTTTATAATTATATTTTTAATTAAATTTTACTTTAAGCTTAGGCTAGCATTTAATAAATATATTAGCCTATTTTAAACTAACTAAGTTTTAGTAATGCTTAATAAGTAAAAAATTAATTATATTTTTAATTTTAGTAAGTTTAGGCAGGTATCTTCTTGCAGCAAAGTTAAGTATATAATTAATAATTATTTTTTTTTCTACTATAATAAGTTTTATTAAATTAAATATATAATTGCGTTAAAAAGTAGTTCTAGCAAATTATTTTCTAAGTATTAATTTAAACATATTATAGTATTTTATAGCGCAATAAATTAAAAAATTTGCATTTTATTTAATAGCTTAAATTATATTTTATATTTAATATTCTTTTTAAGCTAGTAATGTATTATTATATTAATTTATTATAATATACTATAGGCAATAGTAGGTTTTAGTAGGGGCTTGGCAGAGACTAACTACTCGTCCTAACTAACTATTTGTTATAGAAGTACGTTAAGCTTTTTTGCGCACTTGCGCGCAGTTTAGCTATAATAAATTATATTTTTTTTATACTACTATTGCGCGACTATATTAGTTACTTTTTAATTATAAAATTAATTTTAAAACTATAGTATTTATATTAACTTATTTAAATTACTTAATTACTATATTGCTTAAAAACTACTGCGTTTATTTAATTTACTAAAATACTACTATATTAAGTATAGTATAATATTAAATATATTTTTATTTATAATTAATACTAAATAGGCGCTTAGTAAAAATTTTATTAAATTAATTAATTTTAATAATTTTTATAAATAAGAGCGCGTTTTTAAAAAAGTTACTACTTAATAAAATTTACTTAATTACTATAATAGCTCTGTAGTTTAGCACTTTAAGCTTATTAAATTTATTTTTTTATATACTAAAATTGTATTTAAAGCTATAATACTACTTTTTAAAAATTAATATTTTTTTTTTAGTATTATTACTTTGCCTAGCAATAATAATAATGCTGCTTAATTTAAATATAAAGCTAAGCTTAAAATTTATAAACTTAAGTTTTAATTTTATAATAAATATTATAAAAAATTACTTACTACTTTTTATTTTCTTAAAAATGCTGTAGAAAACTATATTTAAAATAAATTTAATAATAAATAAAAAAAAAAGCCTTATATAGCTTAGGCTAATATTACTAAAATATACTAAATTTTAAATTTAGTTATTATTTATTATATTAAAGTAAAGCTAGACGCTTTTATACTTATAAATTTTTCTACTATCTGCCTGCTTTTTGCTAAGTTTAAGTACTATTATATATTAACAGCTACAGCGAGGGCAAAGAGGCCCTCTAAGGTTAGTTACAAAAAATTAAGCTGCAAAAATTTGGATTTTTACCTAGGTAAGTAACCAAATTTGGCAAAAAATACAGCTTTTATTGTTGGAAACTGCAGGATTCGACCTCAGTTCTACGGAAATAATTCGGATATAACTAGGTTATAACTCGGGTTTAACTCGGGTTTAAAACTTAGTAATTCAGATTTAATTGGACAATTATTAAACTTGGCTATATAGTTAACTGAATTATTAAGGTTTTTAGAGCCGTAGAAGCTTTTCCTTAATAGGCTACAATATTTGAATTTAACTACAATTGTATAGCTGCAATAGCAGCTTAAGCCTCTATTTTTTTTTTTAAAAAGTACTATTATAAAAATATTAATATTGCTAAAAGCTTTTTTATTTACACTATTTTAATTTACAAAATTAATAAAAAATTTTTTTTATAATAGTACTGTACTTTTATTAAAATTTAAAACTTTTTTTACTTTAAAAAAAAAGTTATTATTTAAAAAACTTAAGTAAACTACTAAAATTTTATTACTAAGTATACTAATAACTATAAAAATGCTTAAAATACTACTAAAAATAAATTTAATAATACTACTACTAATACTTATACTAATAGCAATAGCAAGAGCAACGGCAATAGAAAAAGCAAAAATAATAATAATAATAAAAATAATAACTATAATATAAGCAACAGCTTTATATACAGTTACTATAACTATACTAGTTATACTATTAAAACTTATTAACGTACTTCTATAACAAGTAGTTAGTTAGGACAAGTAGTTAGTCTCTGCCAAGCCTCTACTAAAACCTACTATTATTTATAGTATATTGTAATAGATTAATATAATAATACGTTACTAGCTTAAAAAAAATATTAAATATAAAATATAATTTAGGCTATTAAATAAAATGCAAATTTTTTAATTTATTATACTACAAAATACTATAACATATTTAAATTAATACTTAAAAAATAACTTATTAGAACTACTTTTTAACGCAACTACACACTTAATTTAATAAAGCTTACTATAGTAAAAAAAAAAAAAATTATTAATTATATACTTAACTTTACTATAAGAAGATACCCGCCTAAGCTTACTAAAATTAAAAATATAGCTAATTTTTTACTTATTAAGCATTACTAAAATTTAGTTAGTTTAAAGTAGGCTAACGCGTTTGTTAAACACTAGCCTAAATTTAAAATAAAATTTAATTAAAAGTATAATTATAAATTTTTTTTTTATAAAAATCCTAATGCTATATAAAACTAGTTCTAGCTAGTGCAGAATATAAAAACAAAATATAGTATTATAAATAAAAATACTTATAACTTTAATAAAACAGGCTTTATAATAAGTATAATATTAACTAGAGCTATTATTATAAGCTTTAATTATTAAAGACAGGCAACAATAGTATAGCAGAATAATTAAAAATAAATAATAATAATTTAAAATATTAGCGCAGCTAGTTAAGCAATTTTACTTTTTATTATTTTTATAAGCAAGTACTACTTTTCTGCCTAGTATAAAAAAAATAGCCTACTTTAAAATTAAGCTATTACTATTTTTATAAATAGCTAAATAACTAATAAGTATAGCTTTAAGTAAATAAAGCACTTTAATAAGTATATAAAAAAGCGTACTATTAGCACGCATTATTTTTTAATTATAAACAGCTATAAAAGCTATAACTTAGTTAAGTTTTACTAGTACTATAAAAAAAAAATATTATTACTTTTTATATGCTTCTATATTTGTTGCACTTACTATAACTACTTAATATAAACTATTTTACCTTTTTAAAAAAGGCATATAAGTGCTAAGCTAAAATCCTAATGCGTAACTATATTAATTATATTATTAAAATTAAGTTTTTACTATGCTTTAAAGCCGCTTTTAACGCTATTATTATAAAAAGCAATATTTTAAAAAACTTTTAAAGTACTAGCTTAGTACTACTTAACCTAAAAGCTATAATATTAAAGCTTAATATCTAGTTATATACTTTACTATTACTTACTATTAAAAATAGTGCCTAGGAATTAAGAATACTTAGTAATACTTTAAAATTTAAGTTATAATTAATATTTTTAAAAAAAAAAATTTAA